CTGATCGATTTAACACGGTTTCTTTCACAAAACATTGCATGACCAGAACTCAACTTATCTTTAAGTTTTGATTTATTAGAATAAGTCGAATAAGATTGAAATACAAGATTGGTAAATAAATCGATTCACAAACTCTTCTTTGACTTACCGGTAGATGGAAATTTTTTGGGACTGCTGGATTGTGCTCTTTTAGCCATGAGGCATGTTGTTTCATCTTTTAATACTCCTATTATCCTATTGAATTTAATGTCAAACACATGTCCTTTAAGAGAGATGATAATTAAAAAGAAAGCAGACGGACTGTAGACATTGTGAAGTAGATACTTGAAGGGTTTATCTTTATTGTATTAAAGGAAATAAGAAAATACAGACATCTCTCTCTGAATATGACGTTGTGAAAGAAAACGAGAGAATTATTACTTCCTCTGAATCCTCTCACAATATAATAAAATGATTTGAGTAAAGTTATGTCCATGTAACAGTATATATAGACTTGGTTTAGGTATGATGTAGGACTTGCTTTCATAGAAGGGCTATAAAATTTCTTTTGTGTTCGGTTATTCTTATGTTCTCGTGGTACACATGGATTGAAGTGTTTTGGAGTGTTTTTGCATGTTATCGTCTTCCCATTAATGTTTTCGATCATGAGACATCCTGGTAACAGCGCATGTCGAATTGGGATAAACTTGATTGTCCAAATCTTTTTAAAGAAAAAATTATAGATATTACTAAGCCATTTAGCATAAATCATCATATCTTCATGAAATAATTTAAATGTCATCCTTGTCATTGGCATTAATCTACATGTACAAAACAAAACAATACAATAAAGTCATTTCTATAGTGCTCTTACAAACTAACTGTTGTTTCACAGCGCTTTACATAAAAGTTATCAAAGAATCTATTGTTGATCATGGTCAACACTGCCACTCACCGCCCAGTTGTAGTGAATGGATACCGGGTAGGAATTCATTCGTTGAATGCGTTTAGTGCATAAGGGCAGCTAGGCAAAAAATACTAATTTATAGGCACTTTAAGTATCCCCTAGGATGGATATTTGCGCAATATAAATAGAGCTTTTATGATTAGTAGTAGTATTCATAGCACGACGTAGAGTTGTTTTTAGAGGATCATTTTCAAGCAAATTCATGGACTATCCTTTAATAATAAATCATCTCTTAACATGAAATGGAGAGAAAAAAGTATTATTTTTTTTATCTGATTAGTAGAGTGAAGGTACCTCCCCCCCCCCCCCTTTATTTTAGTGTTTTTCAATATTGCACGCCCCCAATATACATTGCATATCAGTCTTTTAGTTTATCAATCACCATAATATTTCTTCAAGCACACTTTTTAAAAGTGTTTGGCAATTGCCTTGATATTCTTGAAGACAAGCTTGAAGACGGTTAGTTGAATCACATTTAATCAGGAACTAGGCCTGTATTATAACTTCATAGCACATTAACTTGAGTTGTAGTAAACATAGAAAATAGATTCTTACATAATCCAACGTAACTTACACTGAATGTTCAAGATTATAAAGAAATGACATGTGGCAAACAATTTTGTTAGAAAATGTTTAGTGGCTGAGTAATGAGCATAGAATGATAAGGATATCCGGGTAAGGAAGCCAGACACCATGTGCTTGCACAGGTCACTACGTGCAAATGGGAGTTTTGGATTTTATCGAAGATGATGCCCAGTCAGATTTTGTGCGTTTGTTTTTATTTCACTGGTCCAAACGACCAATCTACTGCAGGATAAACAGTCCAGAATAAATCATAGCAATTTTATCTCGAAACACGATTTCCATACCAGAGCTCAAGATTAGTTTTAAAGAAATTTATGATTGCACTTTGAATTTCACATATTTCATGGATCATAAGTTTCTACAGCTAAACTTAGAATTTCTTAGTATACAGTGTGTCCCAGAAAAAACAAAACAGAGAATTATGGATGTTTTATCATAACTTAATCACAATTATAATTAATAAATGACACATATTTGTAAAGCTTAGAGCCTCCTCTTTCATTTGATGCAACTCATATGATGCATATTTCACGCATGAGTGATTAAAATCAAATTGAAGAAAGGATTTAAAAAGTAATTTGGCAAACTGTATCTGAATTTCAAAAAGAAAAATCACATTTCCAGAAAGATCATTTTCTGCTCTTTCATATGACACCTCAATCAGGAAAAATGAGCCAGGAATACCCAAGTTCTGTTTGATGAAACATCGATAATTCTCGGTTTCGTTTTTTTGTGGGACGCACTGTATAGCATCTTTATTGAGACGTTCTTGCATGTTTTAAATGTTTGTCTTCAGTTGACATTCACAAAACCATTATCCTGTTTTTTTAATGATGATCTTGCTTTTCTTGTTGTTCCCTTTTTTCTCTCTTTTGATACACGCTGCGTATCTGTGCTTTCGACGCGATATGATTTTAATTTTGATGCACGCTTCCTGACCTGTCTATAAAATTGTCGAAACTGAACGCGTACATGTGAGTATGCATGGCCGAAAGAGCTTCAGCATTCTTGCACCGAATTTGCTTCCCCCGTTTTTATCCCAAATAAAATGAATGTGCACCCTTTGAAGTGCTATTTGCACCTATGAAGTGCTCAATGTGCACCATCTCCTTTTGATGTATTTCATATATGTATGTATGCCGTGCTGGTAATGGTCAATTTTATTCAATGCACTGTGTGTTCATGAATGCTGTGATCTTACGTAATATCTTCCATTGTGTGTTACCCATTTGCAAGTTATCGTTCATGTCGGAAGATAGTCATCCCGATCATATCACCCCCTCCCTACGTCATCACCCTACACCACCATCATGGTCTTAATAAGCAAATATGTACCCAAAACAAGTGAAAGGATGAGAATGATCAATATCTCTAGTTTTATACAAATGTAAACTCAATGACAAACTGGGAGAAGAAAAAGAAATTATTTATTGATAGATGCCATGCAATATATATTGAATTATTAAAATTCATCAGAAGTGTGTGTTTGATGTGTTCTTGGTGAAGTATATGACGGGCATATATTATTCAGTGTTTTATTCTGCTTCCCAAGGTCTTTACGGACCCCATATACAGTAGGTTTCAAAATGTTATTGTAGAATATCAAATTGTCGCTCGTAAATCATAACATTTATTATCTAAACTAACTACACTCCAATAGTGCCATTGCAAATGAATGTTTCTTGAAGTTTATTCTCTTGAGGAGAGCAGTCACCTCGAAGGAAATTAATTGAAAACACAAACCAACTGATTGTTGTATATATAACTTATTTATTGTCAAGGATTTTTTTTTAGTTTTGAAGAATGAAAGTCACTTAATTAATATACTCCAGGGTGATTTTGCATTCTTTTCTTCTTTTCAACTTTAGTGAAAAGTGGAAAAATGTTTATGCATATTCAGTGTTGTATATGCATTAACAAAGTTTTAATTAACAGAGGAGAGTTTTATATTGTAACAGTACTAAAGTCATTGTAACACTATGAGTCTCATTCTATGTTTCCATACCTAACATCAATCTCTACCCCTCTCTCTCTCTCTCTCTCTCTCTCTCTCTTTCTATCTCTGTCTCTGTTTGTCTCTCTCCTCTTCTGATCTTATTTTTTGTGTGTGCGTTCTCTCACTCTCATGACATATGCTTATCAAAGAATGCAGTGCTTCACCTGTTATAATTTTCTTTTACATCAAAAAGTAACATGCTCTTACTTCAAATATTTGAAGTTTTCGGATGTGCTAATTAGTCTGGAATTTACAATATCAGTTAATACCCATCAATATGTGGAGATACACATACATATTCTCAACAATTTTAACACTATACATCATTGGAAATTGATATTCAAAAAATATTTTTATTGATATCTCCACTTTGTTTCAAGATATGACACTTAATTTTCTGCACCCAATTTGCAATGTGTAGAAATGTCATATATAAACGGGAGATTGTTAAAAGGACGTTTCATATTGCTTGGAGCAAGAAGGACGATATCTCATATACTTTAACACAGAGCTAATGCCCTTCTGGCTCTGAACAGACGATTTGTCCACCAAAGACCTTAGGTCGTATGCATGGTTGCTCAAAGCTCCGACCTTCGTGACCTGTCTAATTTTCCAATAATTTTCGTTTTCAATGTCAATTACACATCTGCCTTGACATTTATCAATCTGATCATTGAGATGTTACACTGAAACGTTGCATTTCCTTACTTCCATACTTTCTGTCCGTTTTTTCAAGATTTCAAAAAAAAATTGTATCATATGAACATTGTCATGCTAACCTCTTTGATTTTTCCTCTGCTTGTTTTAATTTCTTTGTGCATTTGAATTCTTTGAATTTTATATGCTTGCTTTACATTTTTTGTTTTACTCCTTTGCTTCTACCCAGATATTCCTCTAACATGCACCCTCGATTCTGTATAATTTTATGAACCTCAACAAATTGATATAATTTTTAAAAAAACATTTGATTGTGCTTTTGTATGAATAAGTAATAAGCAATTGAAGTGAATATTGATTCCCTTTGATTTTTAAAAGCTATGAATGGTGATTGAATAAATTAATTGTTTTGGAAACCATGACTTTAAAATCGCATGGCTTTGAATTAGCATGACCTTTGAATATCTTTTCACTTTTCCGGCTCCTTTGACACCAGGGAATTGTATAGCCTACAATGCAAAAAGGGCATTTTTGCGTAATCATCTTCCAAATGACGGTTGAATTGGAAGAAGAATGTTATATATCCGAAATGGAAACAAATCAATTAAGGTACATTCACAATACATTCTTAATAGTATATCTGTAATGCACTTAGAGACATTGCAGATGTATTAAGCGCTATATAAAATCAGAATATTATTATTTTTTATTATTAATACATTTGCTTCAAATTGCAAAAAAATGAAATTAATCCATCTACTGTGCATTCTGCTTCATTGCAGTAAAACTAATGAATTTGCTATTTCTTTCTTCTAGAAATACAACAAAAAGGATCTCGACGATGTCCAGATTATCATGGATAACAACCCCGATTCCCACCCTCGCCACCTGATGGCGCTCTCCGCCCACAACACTCCAACGCACACCGTCAGCAGCGGCGATCGTAGCTCGATGCACAGCAGTATGAGTAGCAGTTACTCGGATATCTACTCTGCAGCGGAAAACCAAGATCTGGATCTGAGTGGCCTGGTGGAGAGCACCGTGGATTCGGATGAAGAGGAATCCAGTGAATCAGGGGTAAAAAAAAACAAACAATAATAATATTTATAGTGATGATAATTTAGATGAATTTATAAAGTGTCTATTCAATTCGATTCAATTTCATTTCAATTCAGGTTTGTGTCGTCAGCAAAAAGAACAAAATGAAAAAGAGATGAAGCAGATCTAATGTCATTTATGAAAATTAAAAATAAGAGAGGACCCAGCAGGGAGCCCTGGATCCTCTCTCTCTCTGTCAGAAACAAAGTTGTTGTATGATGTGTATATAACTGAAGAATCTCTCTATCCGTTTATTATTCCGGAGATTAGAAAGTTAAGCATTGGACGATATTGAATGCCATAAACATAGAGAACATGTTGATTTTAATCAAATCATTTCTCTGATATCTTCATCAAATGTAGTTGTGAGTTTAGATGTAAATTTTGTTGTCGAGTAGTAATTCTTTTATTAAGGACGTCCCGCAGTAATGTTTATGCCTACTCTAGCTGTATAGGGCCAGCTGGTTATGTAAATCACCCTGCGCAATGCCTGGAGTTTGTGGTATTGTGCACAGTAAATGTATGATCAACCGGCCCTTTCGCAGCTAAGGCGCGCATGAACATTCCATAGGAAAGTCCTAACGGTATAACGATAGAAAGGATGTATATTTTAATGAAGCAAGTCATTAACTTTTGAAGATCTTCGAACAGAAATATGAAATCCTATAGAAAGTGTTCACTATATAACTTTTGCTCGTAGTAAACTGTGCAGTTTACATTGAATGAAGGCTATCTATCTAATGCTCATTGATATCTATTTATTTTTCTGATCTCAATCTTTTTAAAGCTCTTCAAAAACAACATAACATAAATAATAACTTTTCTGATCCTTTACTTTTTGTTTCTACTCAGTCTCTTCTTGTAAGGGATCTTGTACGAGACTGTCTGGAGAAAGATCCGATGCATCGAACGGAAGATGAAATAGGTAAGAAATGTTATCTCATCGAGGACAGGGTAGTCTTTTGAAAGCTAACTGATCAATAAACTTTTATACATTAATTTGGCAACCTAATGCTGTGACACTATAATCATGATTAAAATATAATTCAGTTGCATGGTTTCTTAAAGGGAGTGTAGCATGACGAGACTACGTGTGTTTCCTGTGGCCTGACTCTGGGCCAATCGGGTATAGTACGACTAAGGATGTGCAACATACGCGAAACCGAAGCGTGATGAGAACTTTGGTCTGTTTTGAGAACACTGACCATGTAGAGATTAAGTCGCTGACTTCCGTTAATCAGGTCCATTCGTTTATGTGCAGTTGTCTAAAAGAAGACGTAGATGGCATTACCCAGTATTTGCCAAGCTACACCCCCTTTAAGATTGCCTTTAATACGTCGACTTTTATTGAGAACAAGTGGAACATCATCTGTATGATTGGGTATTAGCAGGATGTGACTGTTCTCTTCTAAGAACTTAAAGAAACCTTAGGGAGGCATTTATGACTCCTTTTTTTTCCAGAGAACATTTGCCTTTGACAAAGCCAGCATTAAAGTGGGAGCCTTAAAAGTAGCATCAACAACTTTTATACTTATTCAATACTGAGCAAAAAGTAGCCCTTTATATGATAGATATGACAAATTCAAATGTTAGGGTCCATTGCATGAAGTGAAAAATAATAGCAAGACATATTATTGAATAATGATATCATGCACAGATGGAGGAAAAAAAAGTTGGAAATGCCTGGTTTAAACTTTGGACGCTAAAATGTATATGCTTTTTATATATGCGATAACATTAAATTTGAAAGGGCTTTTATAATATTCAATTATTAAATTAACTCATAAAAAAATAATGAGATTCATATGTATTTTCTCTTCTGCCTGTATACTTAAAAATAATAATAATAATAATAATCTTTTAACGTCCACTCCAAATTTTATTAAGTTAAACCGAAACGGAAATTCTTTTTGCCCAATTGGCATATAGCTTTTGGCCGTGCTCTTCATCGCTTTAATTTGTAGAAGAAACTAGTTTGTCAAATTCTTTTGAATCTCATCCTGTTGCCAACTTGATGTTAACAATGATTACAGAAGACAAGCTTCCTCTCGGGATGATACCCCAAAGTAAAATGTGTGTCAATAGGCCCGTCTTCACTAGCTCGAGATTGCCACATATCCCCCTATTTGAACTATCCCGATTGCAAACTATCCAGCTATTTGGTCGGGGATTGTTTGCAAAATATCCCACTATTTGGCAAAATATCCAGCTATTGGTCCAGTGCGTCTTCACTAGACCGAAGATTGGCAATACGCGCTACCGCTGAGCAAAATATCTCGAGCTAATTTCTCAAGGTCGAGTTTCAAGTTTCGAGGTTGAATCTCGAGATGATGAAGACGCACCTAGTGAAACTACATTTCCTGGGAGCATTGCGTGACTGCAACTGTCACGGGAGATTAAAGCAATGCCTCGTAGAGCTGAGGTAATAGGGAGTCAATTCTAGTCTAAACTAACCCATGACATGCCATGTCTGTAGGCCTAGAAAAAAGTAGAACAGACAATATGCTTTGAGATTTAACATGCCAATAAACTCGATCCCTTCTCGTCATAAGGCCCCCTGTAACAAATTGAAACCTATGTTTTTTTAGTTGAAGATTGCTTTTTATATTAGATTTCATTATTTTATTCAACAAAACAAAATAACAGACCATACAAATATTTAGAATGCCGGGGACAGAAAAGATTACCTTCATGACTATTGCATAGAAAGAAAAGATAAATAAATAAATAAAATTAGCTACTGAATATTGATTTGTGGCCCATTATCCCCAGAAAATAACTAAATAATTTGTCGCCCGGCTGGCAGAAGGGCTTTAGCGCGTGAGCGACTCGAAAACTACTTTTTGAATTATTCGCATTTAAAGATTTGCTTCATATTTAAACTGATTCCCTCTCAAAAATTGGTTTTAAACCTAGAAGACTAAATGAAATGTTAAAGTACAACACGGCCACAATTCGAGCTAACGCCCTCTTGCCAGCCAGGCGACGAATTACATTAGTAAAATGGTCTGGTAGCAAAAATAATATCACAAATTATTTGTGACAATTGAAAATGATTTTAAACCAATTTATCTGTTTTTCTTTTATTCCCAGAGCTACTACTAGACTTCATGCGTCACCTTCCTGCATTTGCCAACATGACGATGTCAGTGCGGAGAGCATTGTGTTCTGTCATGGTGTTTGCGGTCGTCAGTAAGGCTGGAACAGTAGTCATGAAAGATGGGGAAGAGGTAAATAATTTTAATAAATAATAATTAATGATCAAAGAAATAAATATATAAGAAAGAGATGAGTTCAATGCGGAGAGCGTTGTGTTTTATCATGGTGTTTGCAGTCGTCAGTAAGGCTGGAATATTATCATTATTACTATTATTATTATTCATTTATTATTATTTATTTATTTAGCAAGTTCATGATATAAGTCATACATGCAATATACATAAAGTTAAAACGTAATTACAAGAAATTAAAAGAACACAATGAATACTTATTCATTCGCAAGGGCGTTGCCCCTGGCTGCCTGGAAGAGAAAAGGTAATTTAAGATTTCTATGACCAGCAGTAGGTCTTCCCTCCGGAAATAACTGTCATAATAAATGGAGAAGAGGTATATAAGCAATCAAATATCACATGAATTATCTTGAAAAACATTATTACCCTAGCTCCATTTGGGGACATATAAGCAGTGCTAAATTCCTTTATTTGTGAGGATCATTATGCTGTTGAGAACATTGAATGACATAAAAATCAAACAACAGAAAAAACCTGTACATAAGGACACAATGATTTATATCTCACTTCAAAATTGATTAAAAAGAAAAAAGAGAAACAAACATTCATTGTATGCATCGATACGAGACCTACTTTTGTAACCACCACCTTTACTTATCATTTTAGCTGGTACTTTCAGTGACGTATTGCGGGTTAAGCTTACCATATTGTGGTTTTGGAATACATGTATACTATACATAATGATTCCTGTGAACTCGCTGATGTTCAGAAGGATATTGACCTACAATTTTTTATCTAACATTAAAGAGAAAGATAGAATATTTTTTTCAAAGAATATGAGACAAACGAGATGATGAAGAAAGAGGAAACGGAGTTGAGAAATAAAAAAATAGAAAGATGAAATATTAGGTTGAATACATGTATAACATACATAATGATTCCTGTGAACTGGCTGACTAAAAAAGATGATAATAACATAATATTTAGAGGTGTCCTAGTCAAGTAGTTTAGATGCTTGACTGGTGATGTGAAGGTCATGGATCCGAGGCCCTGCATGGCACTAGTGTCTTTTTTTGAAGAGTTAATCTACTTCTACCACTCTCTATTCAGGGGTTAATTAGTACTGGTAAAAAGGAAGTCCAGTGCCCTGTCTTACAAAGAGTTACGATTGACCCAAATCAATCGCAAGTCCTCCGATCAATCGCAAGTTTGCAGTCTCTTATCTCTTATGTACATAGTTGCGATTAATATCAACTCTTGTAAGACTGGGCCCTGGAAGCTGGGAGTGATATTGGAAGCACCTTGAGCACCTTGCTTGGTGGCTATGATTGCCATTTAAATAGCCAATGTTATTATAGTGTCATCACATCATTATATGTAACGAGCAATAATATATGATATTTTATTCCCCCTTTCTTTTCTCCCGATAGCTTGATTCGTGGTCTGTTATATTGAATGGTCATGTAGAAGTATCTAAACCGGACGAGAGCGTCGATGAACTCCATTTAGGAGATAGGTAAGAGATCATCATGTCAGAATCCTTGATATAAGTGCTTCTCTGTAAACTAATATATCACACGCTCTAAATGGCTGTTAGATGACTTCTTCCTTGCTCTTCTCCCCATAATTTGTCCTCTCCAGTTTCGAATTCATTCTTGTTCTCTCTTCTAGTTCCGTTTAGGATTTCCCTCTTCTGTTGTTGGATATAAATTCTCTGGAAATAGATAACTTTAATAATTTCTCTGTCTCTGTCTGTCTGCCTGTCTCTGTCTGTCTGTTTCACTCTCTCTCTCTCTCTCTCTCTCTCTCTTTCTCTCTCTTTCTCTTTCTCTCATTCTGTCCATGTCTCTGTCTCCATCTCTATCTCTCTCTCTCATTCTGTCCCTGTCTCTCTCTCTATGTCTCTCTCTCTCTATGTCTCTCTCTGTCAGTCTCTCATTCTCTCTCTCTATGTGTCTTTCTCTGTGTGTGTCTCTGTCTGTCTGTCTGTCTGTCTCTCTCTCACTCTCTGTCCCTGACTCTGTCTCTGTCTCTCTCTCTCTCTCTCTCTCTCTCTCTATCTTTCTCTTTCTATCTTTCTCTTTCTGTCTGTCTCCTGACCCTCTCTTCTTTTCACTCCATGTAGTCTATTTTCCAATATTGTTTGAAATCGGTGTTCACTTAGAAGAAAACAAATTGCATCCAAATCGTATCATTTACAAAGGATTATTTTAATGATGTGGAAACATGTGAATGGCATTGAAGAGAGGAGAGACAGTCAGACAGATAACAACAAGTTATTCACATTCACACTCATGACAATGGAATTGTATGTTATAAATAATGTTAATTACACATACCTTGTATGTATTCCATGGGCACATGTTACAATTAACGATGTATGTTAACTTGTTGACTTCTGATTTGTTTAATTCCCAAAGACTTAATACAGGAGCTACCTGGGGAGTGTTTCACAAAGACTAAGATCAACTTTGAGTTGGACTTAACTATGGCAGGCCATTCAAGCCACTGGTGGCTCTCACCATTATGATCTTTAATATTTTGTCCATCAATAATGAATCATCGAAAAATGTAAATTCTGTAGATGTGTAACCATGATTTGTATGTCCCTTGAGAGACGAATGCCTGTAAATGGTAAGAGAAAAAAGTTGCATGAAGGGCCCGCCATAGTTCAGTCCAACTTAAAGTCATTCTTAGTCTTTGTGAAACAGTCCCCTGGTTCCAGGAGTCAGTTGGTTAATAATATACCTTGTATGTATTCTATGTGAACATCATGATTTGTGTGCAAAGCCACCAGTTTGTGGAGCTTTGGGGCATTTTCTAAAAACAATTTGCAAAAGAAAAGTAACTGCGCACAACGAAAGTTCCTACACATATTCACTGAGCATTGTATTTGAAGAAACAGAAATTTGAAGCATGTCACATTGACGCTGCTATTTTTTTTTTTAAACGCTGAAGTTTACTGCTTCATGGCTTGTTCCTTCGTTCGTGTTTCTTTAGATCAGGATCTTAACCTTGATTTTGATTTTGATCTTCGGAGTGGTTGCTACAACCGGCCTTGTCAGACACGTTAAATGCTGCAGTTTACTGCTTCATAGCTTGTTCGTTCGTGTCTCCTTAGATCAAGATCTTAATCTTAATCTTGATTTTGATCTTCGGAGTGGTTGCTACAACCAGCCGTGTCAGACACGTTGCCCAGGGGTGCGAGATGGGACTCTTGTAGCGTGCCCCCAAGCTGAATGAGGCTTGAGTGATTCTTTTGAGTGAGATAATAACTTTTTGTTGTTGATTATCTTTGTTTTTCCCGCAGTTTTGGAGTGAAACCAACCATGGAAAAACAGACTCATTCCGGAGTCATGAGAACAACGGTGGACGACTGTCAGTTCGTCTGTATAGCGCAAGAACATTACTATAGGATATTAACACAGGGTGAGTTATACAGTAGGTTTGCGGGTGCACCATGTGAGAGAGAGGGAGTTGTACTATATCCCACATACCAAGAATCTTGCAACATGACCGGTGAAAAATGGAGTCACAAGACAAATTTCAGATTGCATATCTTGGCTGTCGGAGTGATAGTATACAAATGTTGCCTGCTTTGAGGGGCACGGTAATAACCATGGCCCTCGGTCATCTCTTAAGTGACGCGAAAAAGCAGTCAACATTTGTTTTATATACTGCATCCATCGTTTGCTCAGAAATTAATTTTAAAGACAGTTTAAACACCTTTACGGCGTCTTTTGGAGGAATCCTACCAAGTACCAAGTAAATACGGTACCGTAACGTAATTCTCATTTATACCTCTTTTGAAATTTTGAAATTTCACAAAGACTGACCCAGAAGTTAATTAAATGTGAGTTTAAATAATTTGGTAAGGTTGGTAAGTGGGTGCTTTCATTATTCCTCCAATGTTTTATTTCAATGTTCAGGTGAAGAGAACATCAGGAGAATATCAGAGGATGGAGTCTTGGTAATGGTCACTGAACATAGAGTCCTGGATGAGAGACGGTTTGGACATGTCGTCATTAAGGTAAAGATGGTGACTGTATTCATAATTTCTTCCACCCTGCCAGATCTGTCGGACACTAATGAGGGCATTGCAAGAAAGTTGCGATTGATTGCAAGTTGGAAAATTTGCAACTGATATTTGCAATCGATTGCAACTCAACTTTGTTGCAACACCCCACTAGTCTTTTAAATTTCCTAGGATTTTGTGAGGATTACAGTTTTAAAAATTAAATTAAGTTAACTAGATCTAGCTTTTATTCTCCTCTCTCTCTCTCTCTCTTACTAATGAGGCATTGCAAGAAAGTTGAGTTGCCATCAATTGCAAATTAGACTTACGCTTGATTTTGGGGATTTGCAATTGATTTGCAACTTTCTTCCAACACCCTATAAGAATGACACACATTTACTGTCCTTATATCAGGTTTATCTTGATCAAGTTTGTAGTCACGAGTGTTGATTGCTCTTTGTTGCTATTTTGATTCGAGGGACAAGAATAGAAATTGGTTTGCAGTATTTCTTTTGTAAACCTAGGCATATTTTGTTTCAATTATATGCATCCAGTCTGTATGTTCTTTTTTATTTACAGATTTTTTCTGCCCCCTAAATTAAATCAATCACTCAGATTTTTTACTAAATTGAATTGGTTTATTAAAACAATCAACATAACATGCAGTTCAAGGCCGATATTGTATGTCTTATAAAGCAATCAGATATTCACAATTTAATAAAAACAGTGTCAAAATACAAAAGCAATACAACAAAATAACAGTGGCAACATCCCACAGCAATATCATAAAAGATTTAGAAAAATGTATCGAAGATGCAGATAAGTAGCCACCAAAACAATCAAGACAATGCCATTTGATATTCAAAGATAAAACCTTTTTGCTGCTTCAGAAATTCTCTATATTGTTTTAAAGTTTAAAGCTCAACTGCATTACTTATAGCTACTTGCGCCCTCTATATAGTAAACAATGCCTAACCAGTGACCATTGGTCCCTCATGTCCCCTTTTTCTTATGTTATTTGAGAGCTGATTTGATGAGATAACCACCTGTCCAGTGACCTTGCAGGGTGTTCTAATCCCTCCTTTACACTAGTACAGATGGCCTTTAAGAGTGTGACGCTACAGAGCCTGTTAGTTATGAAATATTTTGATTTTGTTTCCTTTCCAGGCTACACCAGATCGACTCGTATCTCATCTGATTGCCAACCATTCACCCATTGATCCTACCTATGTCGAGGACTTCCTGATGACGTACAGAACATACATGGACAGCCCACATCAGATATGTAGCTGTCTTCTTCACTGGTTCCATGATATAGAAATGAGAGATAAGGTAAATCAAGCTCATCCATACTTGTATAGTGAAACCTGTATATAAAGACCGCTCAAGGGCAACATGAAAAGTGGCCTTTATGTACAAGTGGTCGCTAAAGCAGGGGGGGTGTTTCAAAAATACTAAGATCGACTTTAAGTTGGACTTAGCTATGGCAGGCCATTCATGCCACTGTTTGCTCTTACCGTTATGATCATTAGATAATATTTTTCCTTCAATAATGAATTATCAAAAAAATACAAATTCTGTAGATTTGTGACCATGATTTGTACGTCCCTTGAGAGACCAATAAACGGTGAGATATAAAATGATACACAATCATGCCATTGGACATTATATTTTCACTTAGTAATGTAGCATAATATAGCTCAATAATAAAACTATAATGCCAAGATATGTGGGTAATCTATCTCCTTAAACGTATTCATGCCATTTTTATTATCAGGTGATGGTGCTTTTTATGTAGATCTTTTTTCCTAGACTTGACCGTATTTTTGTAAATCTGCTTTTAACAGGTGACTCGTGTGGTGCTACTCTGGGTGAACAATTACTACAATGACTTTGAGAGTAACTTTGACATGATTGAATTCCTGGAAGAATTCGAGGACAACCTTGAAAAAGAGGTAAGAAAGAAAAAAAGCACTCTTTTGCACTCCATTAGGCCCGTTTTCATCAGCTCAAGTTTACCAAATAACCCGCTATTTTCAGAATCGGGATATTATCCTGAAGCTCGAAATTGCGCCTTCACCAGACTGATATGCTCATCACAACTAGCTTGGACGGGCACAACTTAGCCCGCTGTTTCTCAAATAGCGGGATATTTTAGAAACAAGACCAAGATTTCTTGTGATATATCTCGACCAAATATCCCGCTAATTGCAACTGCGGGCTGATGAGGACGCAAATTAGTTAAAATAGCCGATTATTTGGCAAACTCAAGCTGATGAAAACAGTCCTATTGAAATGACAAACGAGATGCCAGAGGCAGTATGTTTGGAGGGTGTTTTTGGGGGTGTGTGTCTGACTATCTGTTTGGGAGTTACCCTCACTTCATTACATGATATCTCGCGAACTATTTAGGGGCTGAGTTTTAAACTTTGTTCCAGTATGTAGTACTAGGTACTTGCCAAAATATTTAACATTTTAACATTGATTAAAGCTTCACCATTCAATTATTAGAATCGATATTCTGACATCAAAATTTCCTTTCCTTTTTGCTATGTAATGATGATAGAATACATTGATGTTTAAATTTGCATTGCTTTTTGAAATTTCTGGTTCAAATTACATGTGCACTTAATTATGAAACACTTTGTGAAACCCTAATAAGTGCTGTGGTTTGTGTGTTTAGTTTCACTATATTTACACTTTCATATCAATGAGAGTATTAAAGCTTGTCTTTTTTATTTGAATACACAGAATATGACGGGTCAACTGAGGTTATTACATATAGCAGGAGCAGCCAAGGCCAAACCAAGAACAGTTATTCTGGTGAGTTTTAAAGGCAGGGTACTCTACTGACATTTCTTCAGATTTATGTATGTTCACTGCCATCTGCTGCTCACAATGTCCTGGTGTGTCGACAGCCATGTCCCACGATGCATTGCAAACTGTGTGACGCGTGATATCGGTTAATTGGGTACAGGAACCGAAAATGACTCTGTGTACACCAAAACATTACAGCAGTGGTAGCGATGTCTGCCCTGCTGTTAAATAATATGGAGGGTAACGTAAATTGAGAAATATAGATATTTATATAATATTGAATGGCTTTGAGTGGGATACAAGAATATATTGTCATAGCGAGAGCAATATATTCTTGTATCACACAAAAACAAAGCCATACAATATTATTATTATCTAGTATTATCTATACTTATCACGCTGACTAACAAAATTATAGAATTTGGCTTACCTCAGTAAATATGGCTTTGTTTTCATGTGATGTTGATATAGATCATCCCGGATGACTGAGCAATAAGATAAACAATATTGATCAGTCATCCGGGAACTGCACTAAATATATTAAATACACTGATTTATTGTACCACTTGAGACATGTATCATTGAGATATGGGATGCCTTTGGTTGCGTAATGGTTTTCTCATATTGATGTGGTTTGTATGTTGTTGTTTTTTTCTTTTCTGCAGGCTCGATCAGACAGAGAGTCATCATTAGCATTCAGTATTGTAGGAGGATGGGAGAAGAAGATGGGTATCTTCATCTCAAAGGTAGACAAAGGATCCAAAGCTCAGAAAGTGGGTCTACGCAAAGGAGACCAGGTAAGTCAGGGAGGGAGGGAGGGAGGGAGGGAGGGAGGGAGGGAGGGAGGGAGGGAGGGAGGGAGGGAGGGAGGGAGGGAGGGAGGGAGGGAGGGAGGGAGGGAGGGAGGGAGGGAGGGAGGGAGGGAGGGAGGGAGGGAGGGAGGGAGGGAGGGAGGGAGGGAGGGAGGGAGGGAGGGGGGAGGGAGGGAGGGAGGGAGGAGGGAGGGAGGGGGGAGGGAGGGAGGGAGGGAGGGAGGGAGGGAGGGAGGGGGGAGGGAGGGAGGGGGGGGAGTGAGGGAGGGAGGGGAGTGAGGGAGGGAGGGAGGGAGGGAGGGAGGGAGGGAGGGGGGAGGGAGGGAGGGAGGGAGGGAGGGAGGGAGGGAGGGAGGGAGGGAGGGAGGGAGGGAGGGAGGGAGGGAGGGAGATAAAGAGAGGGAGGGGGAAGAGAGAGGGGAGAGAGAGATGGTGTTAAGATGACAGACAGCAATGACGCCAACTGTTGCTGTGATAAGCTTTATACAGCTATCCAATATTTGATCAAATATAATCATAAGTGCTATTTTACCAATAATCATAACTGATATATTTGTATCTCTAACCCTCAGATCCAAGAAGTGAATGGACACAACTTTGAGCATGTGACCAACGAGAAAGCAGAAAAGATCTTAAAAGGAACAACACATCTCAGTATCATAGTCAAATACAACACCCTAGGTGAGTGGTGAAAACGTAAATTGTTGGTAGATCTTACGTCTTGCAACGTTTCTCTTTACGTTCCAATCATATGTCTGTACCTGTGATTTCTCTCATGGCTAAACTGCTCATTATGTTGATTAGGATTACGCGCCATTTTATCTCCTTTACACAAGTTGTGCGCACAATATTTGAGGGCGGGGTAAGGAAATAAGAGGAAAGATGCAAGAAAAGTTACAAGAATTTTCAGAATACGCATTTATGTTAGTACCTTAGGTAAAATGCTATGTTATAAAGTCAGTGGTATTTTAGGCTTGTAGTAAACAGGTAATCCAGCACTTCCCATGGTGATAAGTGCTCCTTACTGTATTCGGTCAAAGATAGAGGTAAGGGTTAGAGTTCAGGATGAATTTTAGGGTAGGATGTATAGCGTTGCGGTTGATCGAAATCAATCGCAAGTCCTCCAATGAGTCGCAAGTTTGCAGTCTCCTATATTCTATGTACAAAATTGTGATTGATATCAATCGCAAAAAATTTACAGGACGGGACCCTGGATCAAACATTATACATCCTACCGTAAAATTCATCCTAAACCAAGGATTTAACTGAGGAATGTTAAATATTAACCTTTGAACAATCGTCACCCAAGATTATTTTGTACAATTGTATCAATATTTCTATCTTGTTGCCTTACAGCATTCCGTGACCTGCTGGCTTCTCAGGACAGTCGCCCCGGTAGTACAGGTCGTCGGGCCAGTCAAGAGATAGCCCTCCTTCAGAGCGACCCTCTAGCCAGACTAGGGCTACCGGACATGACGATGTCGTTCACCGGTCCAGAAATCAAGGATAAATCCAAGTTGGACAAGAAAGGGGCTTTCGGCAAGAACAAGGCGAAGCTCATGAGAACCATGGCAAAACTAAGCATACTACCCAACAAGCCCAATGCCAAGTAAGTTACATGTACATTACAGTTGTAAGAATACCAATGGTGTGATATTTACAAACCCAATGCCAAGTAAGTTACATGTACATTACAGGTGTAAGAATACCAATGGTGTGATATTTACAAGCCCAATGCCAAGTAAGTTACATGTACATTACAGGTGTAAGAATACCAACCGTGTGATATTTTCTAATTTATCAGTTGACCCGTCATATTCTGCGTATGGTAATTACTAATTACCATTATTACCAAAGGACACTAGTGCCTTAGATGGGATTTGACCTGTTGACCTCTATTGACAGTCATGTCTCACATCTACTAGACCATGACATCACTATAACACAATGTTTACTGATGTTCTGTATTTTTCTCGCATTTCTCTTTGGCAGAGATGACAACGTGTCGGCTGGATTGATGCGTAGCGGTCGTGCAAACAGCCTGGCTAGCAACCCCTATCTCAGTAACAGTAACCCGGACCTGTCCTCATTGCCGAGTGTATCGTACTTTGATGGAGGAGGAGGGGGAGGGTATGGCTATAATGACTTCCCTGAACATGTGCTGAAGATTTACAAGGCAGACCAGTCTTGCAAATACTTCCTTGTTCATAAGGTGGGCAGCTTGTGCTTATAATAATATTTCTAATAATAATATTTCTGCTTATATAGCGCTTAATACATCGGCAGTGTCAGAGTTTCTAAGTGCTTCACAGATATTACCCCTGTCATCGGATTCTGGCTTGTACGCTCACAGTGTATGCACTTTTTCCACTCCCTGGGGAGCATTCCAGCAAGAGCTACTGGGCTCAAATTGCTAAGCATTTTACATTGGCTTTCGCATCCTACCGGGTACCCATTTAACACCTGGGTGGAGAGTGGCAAATGTAGATCAATGTCTTGCCAAAGGATATTAGTGCAACGGCAGGAAACAAACAACAGACCTTGTGATCGACAGTCTGGTGACGTATCCACTCGCCCATGACACCTCTATAAGAAAGGAAATATTTTGTTTCTGCTTGAATAAAGGCCCGCAGAATTTTAAAACTGTGTCAACCAAACTTCCTCTTTACATCTCCTCACTCATTCAGTAACAGAGAACATCAAAACAGATTTCCTGAATTTTCTCATGAAGCGTGATGTATTCAGATATTTTCTTTCTTTCCATTTAACTCAGTAATATTTCTAATGATTTATTAATCTTACAAGCACGAGTATGATTATTCAGTTATTTCATAAGATTCACAAATAGTTTGATCTTCTCACAAAGATCTATCTTAACCAATAATTTAACACTGATTTTCCCCTATCTTTATATCAAACAGGAGACTACAGCCAATGAAGTAACCATGCTGTCCATGCGTGAGTTCAATGTAACCGAACCAGCGTGTACGGGGAAGTATTCCCTCTGTGAGGTGACTGTCGGTCAAGGTGGACTGGTCAAGCAGAAGAGACTACCTGACCATCAAGCCAACATTGCATCAAAGCTCAGTCTCAACGGTAGACTGTTCCTCAAGAACAACATGGCCTCAGAGACTCTCATGCCGGATGAAGTGGCCGTGGTGAGTTACAACATCAAATCTTGTCCAAATTGTTTATTTATTGACTTGTTTATCTCTTATCCTGCCATAATGAATACAGCCCAGAGCCACAGGGCTAATCCCCATTGTGCCAAGCCACAAATCCCCCCAGTGCCAAGTTTATTTTGAGATAATCTGATGGTGTGATCAATAGAACGTGGGTAGCACTCAGCACAGTACAATGGGCATGAACAATAACTGCTATTACGAATGCAAGCAAACATGCATGAAGCAGCGAAGCCGTAGCTCGCCCGCGTGTACAAAGCACTATAACGGTAGCGTGCATGCGGCCTTTTGGCAGGATATGAGTTATTTGGTAAAGATATACACACACAGGACTACCAGTGTATTTTAGAGTTAGTACCTCTTTGACGCTCTTTAAAAGTCGTAAAGGGGCTATGGTAATTTTATACCCCGAATATGAACAATCCTTTAACAAATCATTGTATGTGTATATGCTTTTATTGGCATTGAATAGATTGAACTTGATATGATTTAAGTGTTTTAAGGTCTCTCTCTCCAAAAAAAAAGGTCATTATCTATTTCATTTTAGCAGAAAAGACAGAAATGACATGTAGATAACACAGACCAATTCATTTCATTCTTTTCCCTACGCCACAGGAGCTGCTGAAGGAGAGCCAAGTGAATTTCCTGCAGCTTGACAGTGTTGAGGTTGCCGTCCAGTTCTCTCTGCGTGACTATGCCATCTTCGAGGCCATCGAACCGACCGATTACATAGAGGATCTATTCAATCTCAAGCCCCAAGGCAAGAAGGATATCGACAGACTAAAAGCATATGAAGAGGTAAGGATTTATGTTATGAATGTCTCCATTTAGAATAAAAAGTGAAGATTACAATTTACTTGACATGATGATCATATATTATTAGATATCAGGACTGTGTGAAAGAGCTAGGGCATTGCAGGTATAATAACATAAATAACATAACAATGTAATATAATGTAATCTCTCTGTTGAGAGCCAGAGGAATGCCAACCCGTATTATCTGTACTCCCCTGGCTCCAACCAACTTAAATATATTCTAAAAATGTACATCACAACAATCAAATCACAACCAAGATCTGAAATTAAATTATTTATTGATTATTAAAGATTTCAGATAATATAAGATTTGTGACGATTGAATTCTCTGCGTTTTTCTCTAGCTGGTAAACCTGGAGATGTTCTGGGTCATTTCTGAGGTCGTGAGTGAGCCCAGTATCATGAAGAGAGCCAAGATACTCAAAAACTTCATCAAGATAGCAAGTAAGTAAACCTGCTACCTACCTACCCAGGGAGCGGAGCATGTGCACTCTCATGCGCAGATGAGCAATTGAATCCAATGTCCGGGGTAATAATAATCACAATGTAAAGCGCTAAGAAATACTCACATAGAAAAGGGGGCACACAAAATCCTTGTCCATTTATGTTATCCTTTATTTCTCCATATTCCTTAACTGTTTTTTTTTTTAGGTTGATTTTATACATTCTAGTGATTTTTTCAAGTAATTGTACCCTTTAAAAGTCTTAGAACACAAAAGTCAAGTAATAATAATAATAATAATAACAAAATGGTGCTTATAAAGCGTTTACCACCTAAGTCTCTAAGCGCTATTACAAACAAAATATAATGACAAAGAATTACATATTAAACAAAACAAAAAATTACAAATAAACCTACAAATTACAAAACATATGAAAATACATCAATGTGAACCGAAGTTAATCATCAAAAGCAATTTTGAATAAATGTTTCTTAAGACAAGTTTTGAATTGGTTGACAGTCTGACATTTTATGACATGTAAAGGTAGTTTGTTCCAAAGCTCAGCAGAAACTTTACAAAAAGAGTGATGACCATAAGAAAGAGTTGACACCGAAGAAGACACAAGGTTTAATTGTGGCCAATTTTGTTTGATTATCTTTCTTGCAGGGCATTTCAAGGATTGTCACAACTTCAACTCTCTGTTTGCTGTGATCAGTGGGCTGGGTCACGGCTCAGTCTCGAGGCTACGCTTGGCCTGGGATAAGGTGCCCAGCAAGTACATCAAGATGTTTGAAGATCTACAGGCGCTGCTCGATCCTTCGCGGAACATGTCAAAGTATCGCAACCTAATCAACGCCGAGAATGTTCAGCCTCCTTTGGTGAGTGACCAGGGACTTGTTTTACAAAGCCTTTTTTCAATGACAAATGTGCTGATAACCAATCAGAAGCAAGGATTTCAGTAGCTTATAACAAAAACTGTCATTTGTCACTGATGTTTGTCACAAGTTTTGTGAAACTCCCCCCAGTTCACCATCTTTTTTTTTTTCTCCAAAAAAAGTAAATGTACAAAACAATGGATACATACATTAGACAAAAATAGGTACAATGAAAAACAAGATTATAGTATTTAGACACCAGTAAGTTGGACGCGCCTCCATCCATCCATCAATAAAATTAACCTATCTTACATAGATTGTTTGCTCAACTTCATATTTCTTTTGAAAACATGGAAAAGATAAAGATCCCTTCAATCATTTCATTGAAAATATATACTATTTTGCATACAAAATAACAAAATTAAAAGAGGAATAATTTCTACCTCGGATGTTAAAGATGAATACATTACATGTTAACTTAATTTTCATTTTTCGAGGGTACCCATTTACAGTGTACATCACCTGGGTCGAGTGTGGCAAATGTAGATTAATGTCTTGCCAAAGGACATTAGTGTCGTGGCGGGACCCAAACCGCTGACCTTGTGATCCACAGTCTGATGACGTATCCACTCGACCACGACATCTCTAGTAGTTAATGTTACATGTTAATGTTATGCGATGGCTCAGTTGGTAGAGCAGTGGTCTCGTAATCCGGTGACCCGGGTTCGAAACCAAGACGATGCGCTAGTGCCCTTTGGTAAGGCATTAATCCTCATTACCAGGTTCCTCGGAGAGGACCTAAAGCCGTCGGCCGTCTGGTTGCTTACTAACAAGCATTTATGCTTTCTTAGCAGTCAGGTAAAATAACCACCACCACCACTTTCTTTGTAGATGCCATTCTTCCCAATTGTGAAGAAGGATCTGACTTTCATCCATCTCGGCAACGACTCGTACGTAGAGGGCCTCATCAACTTTGAGAAGCAGAGGATGGTTGCTAGGGAGGTCCGATACTTCCATAGCATGGGCAATGCTCCATATGTAAGTAATAATAATAATAGCTAGTTCTTATATAGCGCTTTCAGGACCACAGGCCCTCTCAAAGCGCTTTACAGATATCTATTATTACCCCTTAACCGGATTTAGGCTTACCCGCACACAATGTATACACATTCTCCACTCCCTGGGGAGCATTCCAGCCAGGCATCATTTTTACAAACGCACACTTGCTAATCTAAGCACATTAGCTTTCGCATCCTACTGGGTACCCATTTAACACCTGGGTGGAGAGTGGCAAATGTAGATCAATGTCTTGCCAAAGGACATTAGTGCCGCGGTGGGACTTGAACCGCGGACCTTGTGATCCACAGTCCGGTGACATTCACTCAAATACAACACCTCTACAGTGAAACCTGTTTATAAAGAGCACCCAAATGAGACAACAAAGTGGTCTTAGGCAAGTGGTCTTTATGTAAAGGTTTTAAATAGAGTGTGAAAAAAATCAAACGCATATATCCTAAATATGATATTGGCATGGTATTGTGTTATGCATAGGATGCGGTTACAGGATAATAAATCCCTACAAAATTACTCACGATGACATGTCTGCTATCATTATCTGCCTTTGTTTAATATTGATCGTCTTTTTCACTGATTGTGATCTCTTTGATTGTATATTCAATTGTCATTTGTTTATCTTACCCTTTTGACACTTTTTGTTTTTCGCAGGATCCCAAACATCTCCTGACACCCGTCCAGACTCAGAGCAACTCGTACGGCTTCAGCGTTGTTTCAGGCACGGCTACGTTACCAAGGAAACGCAATCAGAACAGACGCAACTCGGGGCTTCTCAACCCTAAAAAGATGTGGGAGGAGGTAAGGAACAAATGCAGGGAAAGAAAGTAATCCAAACATTGAAACGACCCTCCCCATACTTTATTTTAATCTTCTTAATCGCAAATATGATCTTCCATGGCAAAATATATTCCTACATGCAAAATACAGGCTCAGGATAAACTTAAAACCAGTGTTGGAATTGAGGAAAATGCCATATATTCAAACCTGTATATTAATGGCATCGTGCAACAATGTTAAATCTGAGACGCATGGCCTTAAGCGTTATCAGTGTAATGCCATTCCCAACGGTTTTTGATTTTTTTTTCTTTCTAATTCCAGTCATAAATATCTTGCTAATCAGCCAGGCGATCGGCTTGTAAAAGTCTTGGGATTCCTGACTGACCTAAAGGTTGATATTCATGTTTGCAGCATGAGCTATATCCAGGATTTTGTTTAGAATCTGAAACGAAGATACCCAATCCCTTTAACACAATAATGTATGTCCGCGTTTTGCAGAATGGCGCAGTGTGTGTACACCCTTCTGCCATCTGCACAAAGATTTTATTTTCTCAAAGTCATTTTTCCTTCAAATATAGCTCCCAACCCTTCTCAGACTTATATAAGTACATGTAGGGCTGTTGAAATTAAAGAGGATAAATAATTTTTGATGTATTTGATCCAGGCTCAGATGTCTCGTAGAGTGAAGATGTACATGGCGAACCTGACTGTGATACAAGATGAGGACCAACTCAGAGATATGTCACTCAGATGTGAACCAGTAGCAAGCTCAGGTAAGCCAACTATGTTATCTTCAACATCGTCCTCTTTATGTCTTCATTACAATGAAATATATCCATTGGATATACCCCGTACGGAACACAGTAAATGAATTTCACCATCATTACTTGGGTAATTTAAGCTTTAGAAAAGCAATAATAAAGTACATCTCTTGTTCCTATCGACTTTGATACATTCATATTGGAGTTTAATCCTACCGATGTAGTGTATACATGCAACATCAATGATGATCTCTAATATTGTGTTAGGGGATGATTTATTAATATGACAAATTACATGCTTGATTTAGCCATAAAAAATTGATTAGGTAGTAATGCCTCAGATTTTTTAAGGCAATAATGAGTCAGGAATGACATAGTAAATACAACTACTTTTTATTGTGAGAATTGTGAGGTTTTATAGTTTTTAAACCTGTTATGTTATTGTGAACAAGTGCATCTATGTGGATTTACCTCGGGTTGTCTAAATTTATGTCTTCTCCATAACAACTGTTTCTTCGGTGTTCATAATCATTGTTTGTTGTTGTCAATAATCCAAGTAACATATTTTTCAATTAAAAAAACTCTTCTCATTCTTGAATTGTAACAGAACTAGATCTGTAATTCATACAACATACGTGTATTCAAAAAGGAAACTTATGATGAGCAAATCTTTTAGTTCTAAATAAAATTTTATTCCATTTACAAAATTCTGAAGATTTTAAACCTAATAGGCATCCTCCCTTTTTATGCCTCCGTTACGAAGTAGCCGGAGGCATTATGTTTTCGGGTTGTCCGTCCGTCCGTACGTCCGTACGTACGTACGTACGTACGTACGTCTGTACGTACATACGTCCCGTTCTCGTGATCGCGTTATCTGAAGAACTGGTTGATGGATTCCTGCCAAACTTTGGTCATGTATGTATCTTGTAGAGCCGATGAACTGATTAGATTTTGGGGTTACGAGGTCAAAGGTCAAAGGTCACAGGGCTCATTATGTATGCAAAACGAGCTCGTGATCGCGTTATCTGAAGAACTGGTTGATGGATTCCTGCCAAACTTTGGTCATGTATGTATCTTGTAGAGCCGATGAACTGATTAGATTTTGGGGTCACGAGGTCAAAGGTCAAAGGTCACAGGGCTCATTATGTATGCAAAACGAGCTCGTGATCGCGTTATCTGAAGAACTGATTGATGGATTGCTGCCAAACTTAGGTCATGTATGTTACTTGCAAAGCCGAAAAACTGATTAGATTTTGAGGTCACGAGGTCAAAGGTCAAAGGCCACAGGGCTCATTATGTATGCAAAACGAGCTTGTGATCGCGTTATCTGAACAACCGATTGATGGATTGCTGCCAAACTTAGGTCATGTATGTTACTTGCAGAGCCGATGAACTGATTAGATGTAGGGGTCACAAGGTCAAAGGTCAAAGGCCACAGGGCACATTATGTATGCAAAAACAGCTCGTGATCGCGTTATCTCAAGAACCGATTTATGGATTCCTGCCAACTTAGGTCATGTATGTTTCTTGCAGAGCCAATGAACTGAGTAGATTCTTGGTTCATAAGGTCAAAGGTCATGGGCTCATTATGTATGCAAAAATAGCTTGTAATCACAATATTCTGAGAACCTGTTAATGGATTACAATTGAACTTGAATTCGAAAAATTTCTTCTGTTTTGGTTTGTAAAATTGCTCTATGACGGAGGCATCATTTTCGACTGCGCGCAGTCGAAGTTCCATCTAGTCTTCTTTTAGATCTGTATTTTGGAAATAGAAATGAATCAAAGATTGGGATTGATCATTGTGCAGACACTCTGACTTTGTTTTTTTAATATTATACTGAAAAGATAGGTTAGACATTACCGGTAATCTACATTTGCCACACTCGACCCAGGTGAGGTAAATGAGTACCTGGCAGGAATTCATTCCTTGAAATGCTAGAGCGCCGTAATGGCAGCTAGGCTAAAGCCGGGGTAATGATTTACAAATTTGGAAGCGCATAGACACGTTTAAATGTGATATGCCCTATATACAAGAACCGAATATTATTATCATTATTATTAGTCATCATTCGAAGCATGAGTTTTGGCTGCATTTCTTAACTTGAGCAGATTTCATCTTTAGCTAACATTTTTAATATCATGATCATTAACTTTCAATGAAAGTAACAATATTTTCATACTACATTTCTTCATGTTTTCTAATTTTCTTCGTAATATTATCAATGAATGATGTTCTGTCTTATGTTCTTTAAAGTTCAAATCGTCTTTTTTTTATGAATCTCACTGATTTTAATGCTGTTTCCCTTCCAAAACAACTTGTTTCGTATCAAGTCTTTGAATTCTTAATCTAATTCACCAAAGTAAATGTCAATGTGTATACTTATTATCCAGTATAACCATCTGTTCAAAATATCACAAAATCGTTTAGAAAAAATGCCTCAGTATTGATTTGATTAAGTACCGGTATCTTTTGCTGTGTTCCTTTAATATATGTTCATTTCTGTACCAACTGTCATGGCAACTTACTCAAATTACTTTGTGCATGGCCGGCCAGTGATTGTGCATTGTGACATTGTTTCTGTCTTTTATTTGAAGAGATCATTTTATCACTAGATTTTTACTTTGAAGCAGCTTTTCTTGTGATGTTATGTCATGCTTGGCCCCTTTTTCTCTCTTTCGTTTTTTCAATACTTCTGTTGATCCTTCCGTTTCCTCCCGAGCGTGAGCTGCACCAAGGCTAAGATTTAAGGGGGAGGGGGGGGGGATGGTTTAGATTCATCACTTAAAAATAAAATAGGAGATAAGTTAGGGAGTGAAGGGAGAGAAAGAGAGTGAGAGAAGGGGGGGGGGGAGAGTAATGAGAAGAAGAAAAATAGAGTGCGTGTTGAAAATGTTGTAAGGAATGTATGAAGTTGGTATAGAAATGAATATATCGCCCGCCGCATAAACTCAAAGTCCCAACTGTTCTTTGACTTCGCGATTGATCGAAATCGTTATCTTCCCGCTGTCACCAAGAACACCGTTATAAATTAATGAGCAATAAAGAGATAGGGTTCCATGTATCAGATTGATAAGTGTCCCTTGAGGAACCACGTTATATCTTCTCGAATCATATTAAAGCAACCTACCTTATCAAAGTGTTCAGTCCATAAAAAAGTGACCTAACCAATTTTACTTCAACATGGTCATTATCGCTCTGAAACAAATTTACGGACAAAGCTTAGAATAGCTTAATTTCTTTTGCTGTGTTTTTTTTTTTGCGAGGTCTCTAATTACTTGTGATTGAAATTATTAACATACTTTAACCTTTCTTTCGAGAAGGAGTTTTCTGTTTGACTGTTTTAAAATAAAGGAATTATTTTCATAGGTTTTTGTCTGGTTATACTAACTTCTGCTTTTGACAATTTTGTTGAATATTTTGTACTACATTGTTTTAGTAGATTTCTGGATATGATCAATTGAAGAATGAAGGCTGTCTTAAGAAGATCAGGTCTTGAAACATTTGTTTTCTTTATTAAAAGGAAGATTTTGTTATTAAAATGATAAGTAGGATGATGGCCCAAAGCTCACGGTGTCTCCGTCTATCTTGCCCCCCTCCTTCCCCCCCTTCCTTCTCTCAGGCGGTAGCAGCAGTAACAGCGGCAGTTACGCCACCCTCCCACGCCGTACCCATCACAACTCCGCTTCCAATGTCTCCCAATCCTCCCTGGATCCCAGCGATACCGCCTCCATTTCCTCCTCCTCTTCCCTCATGCCCCCGCCCTCCCAGACGGCATCCTCTGGCCGTCTGCCCCACCCCAAGCCGTCGTCCCCGACGCACGGGCGGGATCCGAGGGAGGAGAAGCTCAAACAGATAATCTATAAGGACGCGCCCAAGACGTCTTTTGGTTAGTATGCACGGTGTTCCCTTTAGAAAATATCTCTTAGAGTTTACTACCTCTCTCCATTTATATCATGTTGCTATTAAATCAACATGATTGCAAGGTTTATATTTTAATAGATGAAATAAAATTTCTCTTAGTTTACTACCTCAAGTCATCTCCATTTTCATCATGTTGCTATTAGATCAACATGATTGCAAGGTTTAGACTTTAAAAGATGAAATTAAAGTAGCAAAGTAATTTTCATTGGGCTTTTTTAAGCTTTACAGTCTAGCTTAACGAACCTTCAGCAAATAGTTTCTGAAACGCTCTTTTCTAAAATGTCACAAAATGAATCTTGCATCGAAATGCTATATGGAGTCGTAACATGACAAAAGTGTTGTGAACGCCTGATCGATATGAAAAGTCCTGAATTTTAGGAACTCTTTTCCTTGCTATTTGATGAACTATAGGCATTAAGAAGGTGAAATACATTCGTCATGATGGTATATCCAATACTTTTATTGAACAAGAAAACGGCTTACTTCACAAGAAATAAAGGGGAACCATTGTCAATGAATAGTCAACAATATGCAACACACTACAAAGCTTTGAGTTTATGCTCCGCAAAATTAATCACCAATTTATTTCTCTTTTAGTTTTAGTCTTAGAATGAGGTTAACTTTTAAAAAGTAGTTTCAGGTATTTTTAAAAGTAGAAAATTGTATTCTTCCCAAATTTAATTTGATTTTCTTATTTTATGATGGGCTACATACAATTTGTGAGATGCCATAAGTTTTTTGACTGAAGTCATACATGGCATGCACAAATTAAATTGAGAAATGGGGAAGTTTAACTTTCATCTACTTAGTTGAACCTTTATTACTCTTTATAACTCTGTAATTATTATAGAGGAACAGACCATATATATAGTCAGTTACTTATCGGTTGCTGGATAACATGAAGGGTGTATTATATTATTCAATAATCAATCAAAACATCTCAATAAAAGAATGAAGATATATATTTATATCTATTCATACAATGATGATGATACATCTGTACATTTAATATACTAGCCCTTTAACCCTAAAACTCTGGATAATTCATGTCCATGTTTTATTAATTTGATGGGAATTATTGTGGACCCCTTTAACCTTCCCCTTGTTCATGTTGTTTGTATATATATATATCCTCAGAGTATGTATTCCACCTTCTTAATGTGTATAAGATGAAACCAATCTAATCTCTTTCAATGTATATTCCATGCATGTTCCTTTCTGTCATCTCAGCTTTATGATTTCCATTTTCTTCAGTCAACTGATTTCTAGTTTCATGTAATTAAGCATGTCCTGTTTTTCCTTATGATTTCTATCAAATGCAGTGCTCACAATTGCTTGTTACGATTTTGTTGGATGAGTTTTCACATGCCTGATTCAAATCCATTCTTGCACATTTTTACCATCAAACAAAAGAAAAGTGAAAAAGAAAGATGGATGCCAATGTGGGGGTCACGTACAGGAACAGTTCATGGGATACTGGGGTTCTAGAGTTTAGTTTATTTTTTTGTTATAAATTAAAGCATGTGGGTTGGTTAAGATTTTGTTGATGTATGTTTTGGGCAAGTCATGATGATGTTATAGATTTTTCCCCAAGATGATTCTTTCTTGATTGATAAAAAGAAAGAAGGCATCACATTTTGCTGTCTACCTTGAATCATTAAACCTTGGTGTAACTGAACTACCAAGATGGTTAACTCCCAAAATGTGCATTGAAAAAAGAAAAAAAAAATAACTCTAAGATTTGTCCATGCACATGGCCTGACAATTTGAATTGCTGTCATTCGTTTTAAAAGGTGAGAAATCTGTCCAAAGGTTAATGCAAAAATCATGACTTGCGATCCAAAGTAAGATCATGTGACGCTAAGCAAGTAAAAGTGAAACTACCTGCTTATTGTACATGGAGGTAATTATTATCTCATTATACATACTGTTTCCTCCCCTTCCCTCTTCAAATCGGCACACTTTCCCCCTCCCCCATTATCCCTCAAATATCGCACATCCAAACATTGCCACGACCCCAGGTGCGACATCCCCCAAAAACCTCAAGAAACTGCTCTCGTTATCCGAAGAGGGAGACAAACACATAAAGACGCTGCGCATGGATCGATCGTCGAAGGGTGACGACACCGTGGCCTCCATGATGAGCTCCCCGCCCACCTCACCGGGAGCTAAGTCGTCGAAGCGGTTTCGGAAGCTCGGGATCGTCAACAAGATGAACAACATGTCGACTGGGTCGTTGGAGCCGAGGCAGAGGCGGCCGCTGAGTCCCCAGAGAAGCGATAGCGGATACGGCGGAAGCGAAGCGGGATCCCAAAGCGGTCGGGTCGAGCACGATCCTCGTAGGAGACACACCGTTGGTGAATATATTTACTCAATCAATCACCCAATAGATTGATATACCCCATGAAAAAAAAATGAAAACAAAACAAACACCATATGCTTGTACTTTCAGCGCTGTCTTATGGGTCCCTTATCTGACCCTCGTTGCTATATTTCAAGTGGCAAGCATGTAGGTATTTATACTACATTTGGAAGGGCTTTCTGCTATTACCCTATAAACCATTTACATCTACATCTTTTTTCATTGCCTGCCCCTTTCCAAAATGAACCTTAAATCACTACAGGTTGATTATCTCAATAATAAAAGACTAGAAGAAACCATTTCTTATTAAAATTGATCAACAGATCTCTAATCGACACAATATCATAAATACAGGCTTGTGCTTCAGATGACTGGGCTGTAAATGTGACAAGACTCTTTTAATATCTTTCCTCTCACTGTAATGATCATGCACTATAATAATGCACATGTTTCATGTGTACGTGTGATAGTCGAAACAAAATTGCATATGGAAAGTTTCCAAATGCACAGAATGTCCCCTGAGCGATTGCCTGCCTGTAATGAGGGGGAGACAACCGGTAGAAGAATGTAATAGTAATAATACACACTCTCATCTTGTATGTATATGTCACACTCATCATCTGCATGTAAACTGGTGTAGGATGGTATTCAAAGGGGAAATCCCCCACTGCCATGATTTCAGTGTTGTGTATTCCAATCAGTGTGTGCAGCCTGACCTCAGTTAGATGCTACAGACACACAGTCCCCGGTTGTGGTGTGTTTATCCCTTGCATGACTACCACTTGTAAAAAGGCTCGTTCAGATATGATGCGGAAAAAACCGTTGCAGTTTTTTTGTTACAACGACGTTAAGTTTAACATGCGTCACATTTCTGTATCTTACAACACAGAGCGCAGTGAATCTGCGCAGGACAATCGTTGCGCGCAGTTACCATTCATTTACACGTTTTTAAAAAGAAAACTGCGTCTTTTTGCAGCATTCTACTGCGTCATATCTGAACGAGCCTTAGGGTCGGCTTCGTACCACTGTATATTGGTTTGAGATGCACCACAGAGAATCATGGCAGTGGGAACGCATCAGGGCTAGAGCATGTCTATTGGGGCTAGTATCATAAATTGTCGGCTCCCCGCAAGAAGGCGATAAGAGCTCTGGGGGGGGGGTGCGTTTCACAAAGCGTTTTTTCAATGACAAATGACAAATCTGCTGATAACCAATCAAAAGCAAGGATTTCAGTAGCTTATAACAAAAACTATCATATGTCACTGATGAAAAGTTTTGTTGAATGCCCCCCCCCCCCCCCCCTGTATTGCCAAAGCAGTATCCGCCTTCTTGCGGGGAAACCGATCAAATTTTCCAAGATGTGTAGGGTACTCTATCCTTTCATATGTATTTATTTATTCATTTCAAAACTGACTTTCTATCCTAAAACGATGCAACGAAACATGAAAGTGTTCCATATTCATGAAACAGGTTGGCTTTTATGTTTGTAGCATTTGAAGGCTATTTCAAACAAGTAAAATACGATTAAAGGCAGAACACATTTCCTCTAATTCTGTGGAGAATGTTGACCTCCTTTCTACAAAATATATTGTCAGGTTTTTTTTATTCCTGGATATTTTTGTGCTTTATAGTAATATTTTAGGCTATGACAAACTAAAGGTCTGATATTTTTCAAAGAACGTGTTTTTAGCCTGTTATGGAGAGCTTCATGGAAAATGCCTTTTGTTTTGTGAAAATGGAACATTGTACATGTATATATCTTTATTTACTATTATCTTTGAGGAACGTACAGGTAAGTAAAGAGTTAACTCAGTGGACATACTAACTACCAGGGGCAGAGCCTTTAGTAACTGCAATTTTTTTGAAAAGATACAAATAGTCCAGAAGAATTTTCAGTAGAGAGCAAATTATAGATAAATAAAATCATACTTTTATGTAAACACTAAAAACTAAAATGATACATCCCCAAAAGGGGTCACTGTTTTTTTTGTATACGTTAGATGTTTTTATTGCTTTGTGACAAGTAGAAGAAAAGCGATACCTAAATCCCAAATCAGCAAAAATATTCCTTTCCCCAGTGGCATTTTTTGTGTCTGTCTCTAGTTAATCAGATTTTTTGCTAAGCCAGATATTGGAATTTAACTGTTTCATATATGTGGAATTGAAACAAGTCTCTCATTTTGTAGGTGCTTTCATGGTAGTCCACCTAATATTCAGTTTAACTCTTTATATGCCCCACAAATAACCTCCCTGTGCAACGCTGTACCTATTATGGGATAGATATATACCAAAGGATTCAAGATTATTCAACTATTTCCAGTGTAAGATTAATCTAAATTGTTTTTTTAAAGGGTTGTAATGGAGTTATTCAAGACTGAAAATGGGTCATTTTGCAAAGCCATTGTGTTCATGGCACAGAGCAATCCTCGCGTGAACTGGTGCCTATTGTGTCAAAGAGCACTTGTGGCAAACAAGCTACTGTGCAGAGAGGCGAAGAAAGCAAGCGAAGGGTTAAAAGAATGGAAGAGATACTATATATTTAGATTTTAATACTGGTATCCTTAAGAGATAAGAGAAATCTGACATGCACTCACAGATGTATATTAATATGAGATATGTTTAATTCCTACTCTTGAAGCTTCTGGTCCGCCAGCGTCTGCTTTCATTGGTGGTGGTATAGGTGCGTACGACAGCTCCGACTCTGGGGGCGGGCTTTCTTACGATACGCAGAGCAACTCATCCTTTGGATCGTCATCGCCACCCACGCGTGATAACCGGTTTGTCAGAGACGGTAAGAAACGACCTTTAATGAGCATTTCATTTGCCTCATTTTGTGATACATGAATCGTGTGATGTTTCAAATCATCTAAAAATTAAACAATGTGATATTTCAAGATTTTAGGCCATTTGCCAATGAACCCATAGAAAATAAAGAAAGCCAAATATTGTCTGTATTTTTGAGGATAATTTGTGAATATACGTATCAAAGAAGGATGTTCCACATCACATAATTTCACCTCATCAAATTTTACTAAAAATTTGCTGTGAAACTGCACATATTAATCTAAATTTACTGAAAAGTCAACTGGACTTACAAAGCTCAAAGAAATTCGATAAAATATGATAAACTTGAGATATTTGTGGCCCAGTTTCCGCAGTGCCCTATTCAAAGGCGTGAAATGATGTATAGATTCTTGCTGTGCTTTTTCTAATCTTCTTTCCAACTAAAAAAGTGAAGGACAACATCTTTGCAACGCTGAAAATCTCTTATTATAGTTAAGATAATTTGATTTCTTAGAATTGATTTCTCATGATTTTAATATAAAGTATTATTTTATGCCAGTTAAGATGATGATTTCAATGTTTATTTTCATATCAGTTTGCCTGCACCCTCCCATGCATGTGACCTACAATCATCTTAATTAAACTAGTTGCATAAAAATAAGCAATATAATTTTATTCAATTATTTACCTATGATTTTAGCACAGGGGTTTTATTTTATGATTTAAGGGGCTAGCATAATTTAACATATTGTATTTCAAACCATTTTCATGCATGTGGTAATACTCAACATAGATTTTTTTCCCTTTTTGTTGTATGTATGACATCTTCATTGTTACAACCGGTACTTAATAGATTAATGCACTACATGTGACATGTCAGATTACATATTCAAATTTATTATTGTAGAGTTATCATGTTTTACATATATACTGGTAGGCTGTAGTCAGGAATATTTTATTTTGTTGATTATTTTCATGAAGATTATGATTCAACCGGCAACGTTTAAATCATTAGTGATGTTATAAATCATTTACAAGAAGTACTGACTGTAATTCATTTATAACATCACTAATAATATGTCGATTATTATTTCAGAGCATTTAATTCAATGATATACCTGCACAGACTTTGTTTTTCCACCGTTGTACTTTTAAAATCATAGGGTAATCCTAGAGTCATTACAAATGGACACTCTTTAATAATGCACACTCATATATCATTCTGACCACAACTGTAACGAACATACCCATAAGTGAGAACAATTAATTACATTATCTTTGTAAAGTACATGCATACACAGCATGTACTTTACATTTTGCCCACACAACTGTATATTATCTTTTCTGGTACAATGATACATACTAATTTATTGGTCATAAGGAGGGGTGCTAAAGAAGACTACTGTTATATCAGTGTACCTAATGGTTACAATGGAAAATTGGGAAGAATTGTCCACCCAAAGCCTTTTTAAAGTTACCGGTAGACAATTTTACTTTCTTCGTCTTTGTAGAGATTTTTTAGTAGCTATTATGATTTTAGATTATGTTTCGGAAATGAAAGCGGAGACGCTTTGAAGATCTGTAGGAATTTGTTAGTAGCTTTGTTCATTTGTCCTATCGTGTGGTCAGCAGGAACGCATTCCATGCACACGTACAACAAGGCCCAGGCCTTTACCTGCGGTCAGAGGGGATATGCATCGTACCCAAGGCCCCGCCCCCCTCCCGACTATCACACGGTCAGAAAGACCGTTTCACATAAAAAAGGTACTCATCTCACTCCCACTCTCTCTCTCTCTCTCTATCTAATTCACCCTGTTTTTGGCTCAAATTTGACACACAAATAATAATCTGAGTTGATGCAGTGCTTGTGACTTGGATGTAGCAACCTCTTTTTGTGACTTCATTCAGGGCAGTAAAATCTCCAGTTTTTATAAGTTTCATAACAAATCAATCGTAAGAATATTAGCTCCCTGTTGCTTGAACTTTTTTACGAATGAACAGCTCAATAAAGGCTTCATTATCTGGTATTCAAAAAGGAAAAAGGAAATGAAATGTATTTTGACAATTTCATGTTGTTAAGATCAAGTTTTTATTACTTGAACAGAACTTTCCAATCCTTTATTCTAAATATTCCCTTACTTCAAAACAGGGTTCTGAATGCATTCAATTTTACCTCAAACACACTTTATGAAGGGCCGCCATTTTTTAATGGGTCACTACCAAAAGCCAAAGAGAAACATATTAGAGGTTGCTAACTAAAATGTCTGAACACATGCACAGTTTTATGTGATTTAACATTGTGAATAACTGAGCACATATTACACTTCACTCTTAACACTCTTTCTGTTTAGACGGCTTCTTGCTAGCTGTAGTTAGCATTCACCACATAAACTCAACAAACAAAGTTCTGCAATTTCAGTTTGAGCATTTATTTTTCTCTTGTTACTGTATCATTATATTTGATGTTGGTATCATTGAAAAGAATGTTTATTCCCCTTTACAATAATGCCCCATTTGTAATGATTTTGTAAACATGGACTGTGCTGTACATCTTAATACGGGGCAAAGTCAAAAGTAAAATGTTGCAAAATGCATTGTTATTCCTTCAAAAGACAATCCATCCTCCAAAAAGAGGAATTTACTGTTGACAATAACAATGCTCTTTGCAACATTTCACTTTTAACGTGTACTGTAAATTCCATGATTACATATTCATTACAACTGGGTATCATTCTAAAGGGGAATAAACAAGCTTTTCAATGACACTAACGTCAATTATGATACTATACTAACGAGAGATATCATCGCTAAAACTTGAGTTGCAGGACCTTTTTTGACCGTTTTGTGTGCAGAATAGCAATTAACATACTAACATTTATAAATGCTAACATACTAAACCTGTGTGGGTTGTTGGTTGTAGTTTATGTGCACAAGTTATGGCATATGTTCATTTACTTTCAAAATGATAAGCACTGGCAATTTTTATTCTTTTTTCATATCTTTTATAGAAACAAATTTGCTTCATGATGTGGTGTTCTAAATAATATTTTAATTTAAACAATGTACAGTCAAACAAGTCTATTAAGTCTTATCCTGCCGTAATGAATACAGCCCAGTGCCACAGGGCTAATCCCCATTGTGCCAAGCCACAAATCCCTCCTGCGCCAAGTTTATTTTTAGATAATCTGATGGTGCGATCAATAGCGTGTGTGAAGCACTCAGCATAGTACAATTAGCATGAACAATAACTATTATTACAATTGCGAGCATGCATGCATAGAGCAGCTAAGCTGTGGCTCGCTCGCGTGAATTAAGTAGCCAATTGATAGCGTGCTACAAAGCACTATAACGGTAGCGTGCATGCGGCCTTATGGCAGGATATGAGGAATGTGGGCTTAAGAAACTTGTCAAGAAGGTTCCCTTTCTTTTGTGATGAGCGGTAATCTTGTTGTGACAGGATTGCAAACTTAAAGATTATGTTGAGTTCTGGTCTTGGTCTTTTTTTTTTAACCTACAGAGCAATAGGCAGTTTTGATAGGCTGCTTTGAATGTAGTTACTGTATGATTAATTCAGATTTTTTTCTGAAATTATTTTATTTGTTTTTGTGTTTTTTGGGTGGCACTCAGAACGTTGTTGACACAAGCGGAATGTCGTGTTGTAATCCACATATCAGAGTTGACAAGCTCCTTGTCTCCATCTCTCTTTTTAAAGTTTTAAATTGTCATACCTTTCAACGGAGAAATAAAAATATGTCAGCAGACTTTGTAATCCATTGATGTAGCATTTCTTATGAATTAGTATCAAAGTGTATATAAACAGCAAAAGATTCCCTGATATTATATTTTCTTAATAGCTTACAGATTTAATTGTTATGAAAAGGACTGCTCATTATCGCATTATCATTATACAAATTTAGTTGGAAATATCACAGATTTTCTCGCTTTAAATGTACATGCATGTAGCCTTTATATGCAAATTAGCTTACAGGTTGTAACAATGTCTCAAATAGAATATGATATTAGAATTGTAAAGTTATTTAAAAGCTTTTGGGGGAAACAAAAAGGTACATGTTTATCATATGAACTAACGATGTAAAAAGTAGATACATTGCATGCCAATATATTCATACCCTGCCTGTTTCATTGCATGTCCATAACCCCCCCCCCCCCCTTATAAACCCCCTATCCCTTTCCCTCATTCCAGGGTAACTTTCCAAGAATCATTGAAACATGCATTCCTCTAATATCAAATTTTGGGCTAGACTTGCGATTTGGGAATGTTGATTTACATTTTTTGTGGTGGTTGTTTTGTCAGTCCATTATTGAATTTGTCATCATTAGTTTTATTATTATTATCATTTTTATTTTTTTAAACTGATTTTAAAAAGTCATGGGGTTAATTCTTCAAAATATCAGGTTTACCACAATCAAACCTGCTTTAGCGAACGCCTGTCTATAAAGACCACATTTTTTGTTTCCCTTGAAAAACTTTTCTCATTGAATTGTGTACTGAAAGAACCTGTAGTAAAGACCATTTGCCCATGAAGACCACTTTTATTGTATCCCTTGAGTGGTCTTTATATACAGGTTTCACTGTTCGCCATCTGCTCCCAATATCAATGCATAATAAATGAATGTGATAATATCATAATCATTCAGTTACAAAGTTTACTCTTCATTTATGAGGCTGGTAAATATGCAATACAAGCCAGAAAAAGAAAATGAGAAGAGAATCAATGATTGTGGCTTACCAATTAGTTAGGGTTCATTGCATCATAGTGATACAGGTAGAATACCCCAATTTCACATCGTAGCAAGTTCCTTTCATAAATGAACCAATATTGCGGTTGAATTTGATATGCGTAGCTGGGTTTAATCAGCAGGAAAGCAGATAAGAAGCCAGGGGATCATTTCTTGAAACCATCATAAGTACAATTTCATTTTCATTCAAATTTAAATTGATCAAACGTTTCAACAGGAAGTCGATGAACTTGTAATTATTACTGTTTCATGAAGCGATGCTTTGTGTGATGATCGATTGCGCATCTTACCACAAATGTGCTTGGAAGTTGGAGGAATGATATGGATTTACCCCACCTGTTGTTCATACGTTTGCATGCTCCATATATATTGCATCCATTTTGGCATCCCCTTTTTAATCCCCCTTTTAATCCCCCATCATTCATTTAAAAACCCTATCATTGCTCAATTCCCCCTAACCTTTTTCTTTCAGTTTGGTGTTATCATTTTCTTTTACATTTATCTTAGTTTAATTTGATTTAATGTTATCAATTCAGATTGATTTTAGAATTATATGGAAATCAGGATTTACTCAGGCACAATCAAAGGACTGGGAGTTTTTAAAAGATAGAAAACGATTGTTTTTAAAAGTGTAAATGATGATCGATATATAACAAAAATAAAAAGTATTATCCGATTCAAATTGCCTTCAATGTAGCACTTTCTTATTTTTACCACTAAGGAAATGTTATAAAAATCTTTTACAATGCTTTACAACTCATGAATATTCATCCCCACCCCTGCTTGGACCCTACATTGGTTAACGAGTTGATGAATATTCATTTTTTCTGTGTAGTCCCTCCTCCTAAGCTCTACTCTCCGCCCCCTCAGGAGATGCAAGAGAGAAAACCACCTGATTATGAGATAGCAGCTGCCAGAGCACGTAAGTATTCATCTTTTAACTCACCAAAGAGGTTCATCTTAATCAATCCATTTATTATTTCATTATCATAAAATATACAATCGAAGCAACAACAAATGTATACAACAAAACAATGAAAATACAGAGTAATCAATACCATCAGCAGGGTATAAGAAAGGTTTCACTTTACAATTTATATAAAATGAAAAAAGGAGAACTTTTAACAAAGCCTATAATGGCTTTGTAAGACAAAGTTCCCAGTTATATATTTGATCAATAGTTATAGAGCATAGATTATGCATAAGAAGGATACTAACGGAAAGAACCAAAATAAGTAACTTTTTGTGGAAAAGTGGGATTCAGAAATTATAGATTGGTTGGATTTTTCAATGGTATTTGAGATAAAACAGGTTCCCACTGTCATAGAAATATAAATTCTACCTAAAAGTCATTGAAAGTCATGGAAAATGAAAAGAAATCTTGGGAATTCATGGAAATTGATAGTGGGTGTTGGCTGTGTGTTGCTATGGCAGCCTGCCAGTTTAAATGAGAGAGGGATAAATGGGAAAAAGTATTAAAGGACGTATTAACCTGTGTACACCACCAAAAAGAGACATGAAAATATATATTATGTATACTTTCATCTGTGCAATAAAGATGTCAACCACATATATAAACTTTGCACCAAATATAGCAAATATTCTCATGAAGGATGAAGCAAACTGTTACTGCATTCATGTCAAATTTTGACCACTTTCTGCCAATGGCTATTGACGATTTGTGTATGCAATGATCATGATTCCCTTCTACCTTTTGGGGGTAATAGTGCATTTTGTTTAGATGCATTTCCTCACTTTCCCTCGTATGAAATAATGTGTAAATATATACACCTTTGAGGGACTTGCGCTATGATTTCTGAGGTAGCCAGCGTTACGTGATGTCAATATCAAATTCAAAAGTGAAGTATTTCTCATTCAACTACTCGTGGATGTTGAATGATCAAACTAGTGTCTCTGTTGTGAGTCAATATGACTTAAATAACTGATGAATACTTGAACCTTTCTTATATCCCAAATACATATTGTGATAGATACAGGTAAAAACTAAATTATTCATACCCCTACCAAGTTCTGTAAATTTAATATGTGAAAAATTGATTTGTCCGGATTGATGTTTCTTGAGAATAACACATATTAAAGCACACATCCAAAAGTTTTTAACAAAGGCCCTAATTCAGGCAGTCCACCTTTCAATCTTGAGTTCCAAAAAACATCAAATTTACAAGGGCTATGAATAATTCACTTGTTATCTGTGCAATAGTGGAATAGAGTCAGATATTTAAAAAGTTTTCAGAGACAGTTTTGCATGCGGGACCACCAAAGATATGCATTTGAATTTGAAGAAGAAAACAAAATAGTGAGAAATTAGCCACAAATTAAAGGAAGTTTAGTATGAGAAACTGTACCACTACTCAGTACTCATACTTCATTGTTGATTGATCATCTAATCCTAAAAAAGTTTTTAAGGACAGTTTTAGTGACCATTTTACATGAGGGGCCACCAAAGATATGCATTTAAGTTTATATAAAAACAGAAATTAGCTTCAAGATCATGGAAAGTTTGAGAAAATCCACCACCTCCCATATTTTGTTGAAAATTGATCATCCAATCTTAAAGTTAAATGTGAGAAAATCTTCCACTACCCATATTTCTTTTCAAAGAATAATCATCCAATCTTAATTCATTTGTAATGTGTTTTTAATTTTAGCCAAAGCATGGATCATTTAACCCTGGAGTTAAAGATGACAGGTGAAAAATATAAATTTAAAAGCAGAGTTGGAAAAAAAAGAAGGAAGCAATATACCGTATTAGAACTGGATGTGTGGATAGCAACTACTTGTTTTGTGTATACTGTGAAACAGTGGTGTTGGTTTTGCATCATTGTGTCCAATAACCATGTCTTGTTTTTATATAGACACCCAGGGGAACTATAGTTTGGTGTTGTATTTTGCAATGAGCCTTGCGTCTTGAATTTGTTGTGAAAAGCATGGTGTTTTATATATGCAACACTATCCTTATATTATGGAGAAGAGGTATATGAAATGTAAATAAAATTCCTTTTTTTGTTGTTGATAAAAGACACAAGATTAGTCAAATGTAAATTTGGCATAGGTTGATGCATTTTAACGTGAAAACTAACAAAAATACATTCAAAAATGGGACTTCACATGAAGAGAATTTGGGTTTGATTCCTTTCAGGGTGCGTTTTCCCTCAAAACAAGACATTATATTTACAAATGTCTCTCCTTACCCGGGAATAGCATACCTAATGAAAATTTCTTCTATGAGACCTCCCATCAAGAAAATAGGGTTTAATCCTTTCAGTGTTACTTTGTCCTCAAAATGACATTTTATCTACAAATGTCTCTCCTTGCCCAGGAGTAGCATAACTAATTAAACTTTCTTCCTTGCCATCTACTGTGCACAGGTAATGACTGCCAGAGCAAAAGGCATGTTGCTAATTTCAAAAGAAACATTGTTTTGTTTCTGATACTCACTTTACGATCATAAAAAAAGGTTACATATTATTTACTTTTCAGTATACCTCCTTCTCCACCTCCTTGAGTGATCACTGATTTACTATTTCTCACTCTTTTTTTTTTATTTGTTGTTTGCCTGTTTGCCTTGCCTGATGCTGACTGTTACAAACCTTTTCACATTTTTGTAGGGGACTTGCCACGTAGTAGTGAATCTTGCGATTTCTACGACTCAGGTATGTGTCCAACGGGGAATTCCCTTTCTATCAGCTTCCTTCTTTTCCTCTATCAAATAAATGGGAAAAAGGTTTCTTTTTGTCATAATATTCGAAGTATTTATTTCTTTTTAAAGCTCTTTTAGGTGAAGGGGCCATCTTTATTTCAAAATATAAACACAGAGTTGTTTAGCCTTGTTCTGTTTGTAATCACTAAATAATTTTCCACAGTATGCAGGAAAATATAAGCAAATTAACAAATATGCAATGTGGGACAGCATTATTAATAATATACTTAGCGCTTTGAGAGGGCCTTCGGTCTTGAAAAGCGCTATATAAGAACGAGCTATTATTATTATTATTATTATTATGATATATTCTCAATCAGAAAAGGAATAGGGAAGTCACTCACTTAGATAATTTCAAACATAGATGGCGCAATGCTCCAATTTAAATTGTACATGACCAAAAGTGTAAAAATTACTGTAAAAATTTGAGTCTGTTTTTGTTGCAGTACCTTGCGCTGTTCTTGAATAAGAACACTTTAATTTTAAAAAATCATTAAAGACTCTAAATTGGCAACATAGAGTGAAATTTATGATCACTATTGTCATGTTCAAATTGGCAATTCAGCATTATCTTTTGGACATTTCATTCACACTGTTTCATTCAATATACCTTTTATTTTAGTATGAATTATTAGATCATATCATATTACTATGAAAGAGTGGAAAATGCATACAATTATTGCCAATTTTAGGAGCAAAAGCTAATTCATTTAGACCCCTTAGGAAAACGCTGAAATGCTGTGGGTTAAATACTCTTTCATATTTTTGTGTAAGTATCCCTTGCATGGTCTGTTGTGAAAGCCTGAATGTCATGTTTTTAATAGGGAACTTATTTATTTAAACGTTTCTTGCAACATTTAAGGTTGGGATTTGGAATTGATTGATATTTTACAGATTTTAAATGTGGTGTGAAATGAGCCATATTCAATGCATATAGAGTGTCAGTCAAAGTCTTCATTAGATTCAGAGTAATTTTTCTCACTTTACTTTATTTTCGTTGATGTTATTTCTATACACTTATATGTCAGTTTTATACAGTTTCTATGTCACACCCAATTATTATTACTGATGTAACATGAATATATGTATTTTATCATACAAATGTACCGGTACATAAACGAAACCAAGAACTATCAATGTTTTATCATAACTTAATCACAATTATAATTAATAAATGACACATATTTGTAAAGCTTAGATCCTCCTCTTCCATTTGATGCAACTCTTCCTATGATCCATATTTCATGCATGAGTGATTAAAAGCAATTTGAAGGAAGGCAACCAAAAAGTCATTTGGCGGGCGGTATCTGAATTTCGAAGAAAAATTCACATTTCTAGAAAGTTCATTTTCTGCTCTTTCATATGACACCTCAATCAGGAAAAAAGAGCCAGGAATAACAAAGTTCTGTTTGTTTAAAGTGATGCTTACATTTCCATAATTTGATTAAACAAATTCGTTTTCACTGGCTGCCTGCCGTAGCAACAAACAGAATTGACAAAAGACTTAACCCCGTTTCGTTGATGATCAGACATAGACGAAAGACTTCATGCATGGCTGATTGTCAAATGAAGCTTTAATTAATGTCTTTCTTTCTATCATTTCTGCTTCTCTTTGACAGATAATGAGCAAGTATCTGTTGTATGATGTCATCTTTGGTATACGTCTTCGCTCCGCACCACAATCATTGGTAGATGACCTTACGACCTCCGCTCTCCGACTCTGTCAAGCTCCAATTGTCCCACTAGGTATTACGGTGGTAGATGACCTTATTGGTAGATGACCTTATGACCTTGTGACCTCTGTGCTGTCAAGAAATCCAGCTCCGAGTGTCAAACACCAGTAGGTCGTACATTGGACAGAGGAATCGCCAAACACATTCTAGTGAAGACAAACTTTATGCAAGGAGTTCAGCCATCGTGTTTGGAACTTTCAAAATGATCATGGAGAGCGTCACAAGTGATACACCTGAAGGAGTTGTTAAGAGAGACCATGAGGAGGGAATCCAACTCCAACCGACCTTCATTCTGTGCTTATTTTTCAATTTTAACTGAGATATCGATGTCATGAACTCCTTATAACATTTGATGAGCTTCTGTATAAGATATTATCAGGATGAATACTCGTATGACAAAATAGAAAGTGGCCAAATTTGATCCTTTGTTGAAATGTATTATGACAACAATTACGTGCTGTGATCTGCGTAGTCCCAGCTGTAGGAAATCGTGTTATTTCTTTTGCCAGTCTTCAGGATTGGCCTCCAGTCCAGTCTGACACATGGATACAGATACCATCTGCCCTATACATCAATATGCAAACTCTTGTATAGGACAGCCGTGTATGCTTCACAATGTCTTGTGTAAGTACCGTAGTTATTCTGCAAGCCACACGATGGAAGGAATGTGCAAAGTCTATAGCAGTCATATCTGTGTCTCCTTGTCTTCACGTTGTTTCGGTGCAAGCGGTGTTGCGAATGTGTTTGTAGGCATAAAGGAACTAGATTAACGCATTGCCATTGTAGAGACAGATGAATGCTTTATTCTGCAGTTCTCTTTTATAGACACCGTTTCTCTTTTCTTTTTTAAAATGTGTTTGACAGTGTGTGTGCAATTTCTGTACAGAGTTTCAGTTGTACATTAATGGTGAAAGTTTTATCAATTCCAAATTAGTTATGTTTAAAGGGAAGAGTCCCTCCTATCTTATGTATTAAAGTCTTTTTTTTTTATTTTTTACAATTCTGTAACATTGTACAGATCTTATGAATTTGAATATGAATATGCAAAGAAAGGAAGGAAAAAAATTGCCACTATTTGCCATTGCTATTAGAATCTCCCCTGGAGCATCTTCAGTTCTGTACAAATAGTTTTAGGGGATATAGGTCCGTTTCCACATACCCTCTTTTAAAAATTCATGCGAGTTACGTTGCATAAGTCAGGATTGGGGTTAACCACTTTGTATGTAAATTGTTTACAGTGTGAACTGATTAATTTCTAATGACTACCTGTAGAACTGGTGTTTTTTTTATTTCATTGTTTCATCAAATAACCAAAACGTAAATCATTTCTCACAATCACTATTACCGGTATGCAAACTGAACTACCCAAAATTCCTTTGTATTATTATGCATCAAGCATGCTTTTACCCCCGACATGGGCAGAATTTTGTGATGTGTATTTTATTTTTAGTCAAGACAATAAATAAAGTACAATACACACAACAAAGAAATGTTGTGGATAAGAACGTTCATGCCACATGTTTGTGTAGTCCCATGTACACTTTTCTGTGTGCAATACATGCGACTCTTGGCAAGACTAAGCCAATTTTTTATAATTTTGATGAATCAAAAACGTCTTAATATACACCAATACTTATGTACTACTTGATCAACCTTTCCACACATCCCCACACAGTTACTGGTATTTCACAATGTAATTGCATGACCAGGGAGTGTTTCACAACGATCCTTAGTTGTCTCTAAGTTTGACTTTAAAATTATGAAAAGCCGTTAGCATCTTTAAAAATATTTTGTGAAAGTTATTTTAAAAGGCATAAAATGTTGATTCAAAGCATTCATATTTTCTATTATCAAAGAGATTTCACGTTCTTGATGTGAAATTTATGAAAAGTCTAAAATACTTGAAATTCTGCTTTTGAATGTATTTCATTTTAAGGCTACAAAAGGCTCTCCATAATGTTCAACTCCAACTTAGAGTTAGTTTCGACTTAGTGAAACACCCCACAGAACTCTACTTTATATTTAAACTTGTATGGAACTATACTGCTCAAAATTTTAGGTGACTCCATTACAACAGTATTTGTAGAAGTTAATTTTTCTATTCAGCAGGAGTCATACCTACATTTATTATGATGCTATTTATCTCTCTCAGGTAACGTAGCAGATTTATATGCTAGGTTCTTCTAATACAGGGTGGCCCAATAAAAACAGACTAGCATACTTTCAATGATGTGGGGGTCAAATTTACGAGTACCAGCAGAAGGAAAATCTTTTCACATGTTTCTAATGAAAAAATGATACCAAGACTTACTAATTTGGTAGAGGTGGTTTCGTTTGAGGGGGAAATTTTGTGATGCAAGGTGGGAGTTCGCTTTTGTTCAGTATTAACAAAACTTTGTTTTAAGCAGTTCACACACTTTTATGTCTGTGTTTAACAAGTCATCAAAAACACCTGATTTTTTTTTGAGTGAGCCACCCTGTAAACCGGTAATCTAATTTAAACTTGGTAGGGAATTAGGTATATAGGCTGAAGGGTATGTATTAGAGGAGGTGAGTAGTTGGCCAATAAGTATTTTTTAAATTCCTAAATGTGATATTAGCTGCTCCTGTACTTGAATCAAGCACAGGGATATATGTCTCGCATTAATATTTACTCTTCTTTGTAATGAACTTTATGTGTAAATAGATGAATATAGCTGCACAAGTAATTCAGTCCAAAGATTTTTGTTTTTATATATTGGTTATGAATGGAATTTTCATCCCTAAATCATGCAATGTATGGTTTGAATATCGGCAAGAAGAAAGTGAACGAGTGTTAGATACTATGATGTGTTTGTAATATTTCTTCGGTACCGAATGTATCATGTATATTCCATTCATATTCTCAAGCTGACCAGATTTGTACTGCATTTTTCTCGACTTGCTTTTCCAATTTTATTGATTTGGTATTACGAAGCTGCAAACGTTAGTATGTGTGAAGCATTTTCTGTGCTCCGCTATCAAGTATGAAAAAGCAAACGCTGCACTATACAGTGCTGTGCAAAAATCTCATGTACAATGAAGGTTGTAAGAAGAAAATAAAGCAATACTTTGCTTAAGATGGTACTTCGTTTGTCAAGGAACCAGTTTCATAAATCAAGCGACATATTAAGCTCTAGAAAACAAGGATTAATTGCCTCAAATTTACATTTGTGCGATTACCTGTGGACATAAGTGGCACTCCATTGCTATTAAACTCAGCCAACGTTCTCAAACTAAGAAGGATGAAGTTAATTGGAAAGTATTCCTTGTATGATTATGAATTGGTTTTAACACAAAGATCTTGTATATGATATGTAACTATGTAAATCTATTGTATGAATATGTTGAACGGAAGAAATAATCACGTTTTGCTATTCATGTCATTTGTGCAATCTTCTTTAAGACTTTTTTTTCTTTCTTCTATGTTTTTGGGGAAAGAATTTCATTATTGTTGAATGATGTATCACTGATGAAGAGCCAATAAGGCTTTAAAGCCTGTACACAGTCTATGAACATCCTCCATGGTCTCGCAGTGGGATATTTGTAATTTAGTTTGTATAAACTCTGCACCTAATTGTAGATGGTATTAGACTATTATCACCTTGCGATAATGAAGGACAATTTATGATTTCATCATGCACAGTAGTTTTGAAGAAATCTTAAACTATGTATCATAGATTGAACAAAATCAAAATGCTCATCTGTCTATAGGACAGCATGGATAGATTGATCAATAAATAAAAAGCATGTACCTGCATGTAGATATGAAAGCAAATAGAGGGTCATTTTAGGTTACTGAAGAATAATTTCCTTAATATTTTATATTTTTGCTTCCAAATGGAAAGATGACCTCCTGGTGGCCCCATGGTCTCAAATATACTTCTCAAAGTTAGAATGAATTTTTACAAGCTTTTTTTCATTGTCTTTATGTCTTATTTACTGGAATGAGAAAGAATGAAAGATATTGCGACAGACACACACTCTGGCCTCTTTTACCACTGATCTTAAGACTGATTTAAGAAGTGTGGCCTTTTGATCGATGAACTGAACAAATAATATTTTTTTACCCTCCCATTTGAGCCCAACACTGACTTGAGATATTAAACTCAGAGGCCTTTCTTTAATAGAGATGTTAGTGAGCCAGGTATATGACCTTTTGCTTGTGTGCAAGAGTGATTGTCGAGAAACGGAAGGTATTTATTCACCTCATCTCAGATTTATATGTACTTTCAAATTTATTTATAACTGAATAATAGATATTTGATAACAGATAATGAACTGAATCTAAGGAAATTATCAATTGGAGTCTATGAGCATTGAGGAAAGAAATTATTTAATTTAATATTAAAAAGATAATCTATTAGACTTATTTTGTATGTCAGTGAAGTTTGTAAAAGTTATGACATAAATCTATCTTGAATGTCCTGTAGGTTTCAAAAAATATAAATATTTAGGAGTTAAGAAAGTTTGAGCATTGGTAAAGGTACAATTTACACAGCTGATAAATTTGACATGTTTTAGGTGTGACTTGTAATTCCTTCTTCAGATTTTTCATTGAAAGGTTGTCCCTTTGAGAGAAATATCCACTGGTTTACATTACATTTACATAGAGCCTAAATTATCTGAAACAAAACAAAAACTGGTTAGAAACAGAATTGCAGATAAAATGTGAAATCTTAGTTCACCAAAATGATATCCAGATAAGTTATCTCTATCAGCAATCTAACACCTAAAGTTTCAAGTAATAGCGAACGTTTATTAAAGTCATTTTTCTTCCTTTTAACACCAGTGTAAACAAAATTGTGGCTGGGAGCTGTTTTCATTGTCTGTCTTGTATATAAAACGGTGATTGACTATCCAGTATATAAAGCTATCCGGCTGTCCATGTTTTAATGTCATAAATACTTCTGTTTTGTATATATAAAACCGTAATCTACTATCCAATGTATAGGCTGGTTATGTTTCCATGTAGTAAAGATTACCTGTATTATATATCTAGCATGTATTACGCAACGGATGAAATGTTATCAAATGTCATAATTGTGAACGGCCTGGGACCATTGTATCATATTTTGGGCCTTGTATTTATTTAATAAAAAAGAAGAAGAGTATTATTATTGTTTGGGAGAATTTGATGAAAAGACTCTGATATGTACATTGTATGGAATCATCTACATGAATGCTTTGATCTTCCGGTGAAGAAGGACATTAAAAAATGCATAGAACGGGAAAACAAAACGTTGTCAAGTTGTCCATTTCTTGTGTTGTTCATATTTGTTTACTTCGAGGGGTCAGTGACACAAAGTTGTAACTCCATTTTGGCCATTTTGAGAAAATGTGGTTTAAAGATAGAGGTCCACTTGGGCCTTAAGGAGTTAAGTCTATGTTTCACTAGCCATTGACTTCAATGGGGTGTTGAGTGCAGTTAAGTCTTTGTGTTTCTGAAAAGCCCACATTTTCTGAACATTTTGATATCAAATACTCATTTTGGCAAAATATGGAGTTACGTCTTTGTGTCACTGAACCTTGTTCTTGGAAGTGCTTTTCATATTCATTTTTATTAGTGTAAATAATTGAAGACATAAAGTCAAAGAATATTTTGGTTCCAACTCATATATCATCTGTTTGGAGCAAGAAGGGGGTTAAAGGTAATACAAAGTTATGGGAAATTTTGAAAATGGCCGGATAGCGATGTTGATATATTTGGATGCCCCTGAGGATTTATTGTAAGCACTAGAAAAATTAGCCCCTAAAACACTTTTGCTTTCGAGAAAATATGAATATGAAAATTTACCAGTGCTCTCAGTAAATTTTGATAATTTTCAAATAGCTTATATGGCCATCCAAAGTTAGCTGCGACCATGAAAATCTCAGAATATGCAGTTGTGATATATAATTTCCAAAAGGGAATAGCTAATCGGTCGATTTTAGTCCAGAAACATTTAAACCTAAATTAATATCATGACCTTGAGAGGGAGCTATGCAACATAAAGACTTTATTATTTACAATTTCATCACTCGATTTCAACTGCGACAACGATCACTGAATATTGTAGGATCGCATACGCTCCAAATATGTTCATTTGAACCAAATTCATGACCCCATACTAAAACTGTGTATTACCTTAAACTGTTGTGGGTGGTTTATGAAACGGTGCTTGCTTGCAAAATTGACTCGGTCATGCTCTGGTATAGTTTGGAAATTCACTATAGAAATACATGTACACGTGTTTGATATCAAATTGTAGCACAGCTGAGCATAAAGAGAAGAGAAGAGAATGAGACAGAGAGAGAAAGAGAGATGAAAATGTACGAAGACATTTTGTAAAATTAAAACATTTTCCTGTACTATCTTCAGAATAGCATATCTACAGAGATACATAACCACTCTTTTAATTTGCATGAAATATCTTGTATGTTATAAAGTGCCCAATATTACTTTCCTTTAAATTTTGACAATACATACACAAACTCAAAAGAAAAGGCTTTTTTTTTTAAAGGAAAAAATAATACAAAAAGATAGTGAAATAATATACATGAAAAGATTTGTTTGTACATATACTGCAATTGCTTTAATTCGAAGTTAAG